TTAACCCCGTTTTTGCGGCGTTTCGCACGATTTCGTCTGCTTCAAAATCGCATCGAATATTGGGATCGACGCAAATCCGACGATCCGAATTAATAGCGAAAATTACATCAAAAAAGTTACAAGTCGTCATTAAATTCAATAATTCCCGAATTTTATATTTAATAATAACCGCAGACTAGTGAAACGGGCCCGATATTGCAAGCAGAAAACCAATTAATTTAATACACGCGTTTTATAACGCAATAGTGGCGATTGACGAGTATTCGACCTGGATCCGACGTCGCCGAGACGTCGGTTCGACGTTTAATCGCGGAAAAACGAAGCTGCTTCGATTTTTGATTGAGGGTTTGAGGGTTCTATACAAACAATGGTGAAAATTTTTTCAGTAAAGTGAAAAGTCGTCGTAGCGATAGTCGACGAAGGTCCGACCTCGATCTGACGTCGACATGACGTTCGGTCGCCGAAAAACCGACGTTGCATTGCAGACTCGAATCGATAGCGCAAATTACATAAAAAAAATTACAAGTCGTCATTAAATTCAATAATTCCCGAATTTTATACTAAATAATAATCGCAGACTAGAGAAACGCGGCGATTGACGCGTATTCGACCGGGATCCGACGTCGCCGCGACGTCGGTTCGACGTTTAATCGCGAAAAAACGCCACTGCTTCGATTTTTGATAAACTTACGCGCCAATTTGGGCCTTCTGCACAAACAATGGTGAAAATTATTTCAGTAAAGCGAAAAATCTTTGTCGTAGCGATAGTTAACGCAGATCTGACCGTGATTTGACGTCGCCGCGGCGTCGCATCGTGGTTTCGTTCGTCGAGATTGACGTTTTTGGATAATTACACCAAATTGAACGCGGGCGTAAGAGGAGACGCTAAAAGAAATCGACGAATGGACTCGCTCCGCAGGAATTTTTAAATCGCTAGCGCTCTCGACCCCAATTACATGGCCGGAGGGCCGTTTAACTAGGTTAGCGTTTTCCAACGTTCTCCGTAGCGGGCGTAAAAAGAAAAACGCGAAAAAAGGAGTGTCCCCGCCCCCTCCCCTCGCCGCCGCGATCAAAGCCCGACGGAAAATATTTGCCCGTTAACGCATTAAGTGGTGGGGGGGGGCGAATACCAGTTTAGTGTATATTTACGGGAGCCGGTGTAGAGAGAGTGAGAGAGGAAATACGAGAATGAAGTGCTTCGTGAGAAAAATACACAAAACGGGCGAACTCCCCCCGAGAGTCCCGAATCCGCCACCTGTTCCCGTTATCGCCGCGGACGACGTCGATCCGACCAGTTTACGACCTCGTAGCGAGCGTTCAATTAGAAAAAGGCCGATAATTGAAAGTCGAACGATAAAAGATGGCGCGACGCCGCGCGAACGCGGACAAAAAAGCTTTTTTCATTTAGGGATTGGAGCGGAGAGGGGGCCGCTCACGGTGGGCCAAGATGACCCCTAAAAGTTTTTAAAATTTCAAATTTTACTTTTTGTTTATTACAAATTATATTTTTAAAAAATGTATATAGTGATATCACAAAAAACAAAAAGATTTTTACAAAAGAAAAAAAGGAAGAAAAAAGAGTTGTTGATTATAATGAGTAAGCTACTCTCATTAGATGGTGTAATTCTCTGTCCAATATGTTTTTGAAAGAATTAATACGCAGTGTCCGCAGTCTTCCGACAGGGAGTTCCAGGTATGCACTACTCTGTTGAAGTTTTTTCTCTGCAGTTTGGCAGTCTTTTCTTTGGTTAATTTTTTGAAGTGACCTCGTGTCATTTTGAAAGATCTGAATTAGAGCACCACGTAATCGTCTTTCTTTCAAAGGTGTTAAATTCAGCTTTACAAATCTAGTAGGGATCCCATATTGTCTAACCAAATTCTAATTTTGGACGAATGAAAGACTATGGCCTGAGATGATCTATTAAGAAGTCCCTTCCTCATACGAGGGCAGCGCCAAAATTTCCCGGCCTTAATAAGAAAAAAACAAAGTAGAGTAACAATTTTTTATTTATTTTTTTCAAATATTCCCCCTAAACTTCGATATAGTTATTACATCTCTTTATTAACAACTCAATACCTACATACCTAAATGATAATTTTTAGAATTCTGTGAATCGAAATTCCGATTTTTCTTTACGCACCGTGTAGTCAGCGATAGATTTGGATTTTTTATATTTCGACAATAGACTATCTCTAATTTTCATCATCTCACGAATATTATGTGTTAACCAACAAGCATACGTTGTGGTGATCTAAGAAACGACGAAAGGAGCATATTTATCAAACAATGAAGTTATGAAAAAATTGAACAATATCTACTTTCTGATCAATATAATTTTCGTGAATAATGAGATGCCAAGGGATGCCGACAAGATTCTGAATTATGATGCAAAACTCGAGAAGAAGTAGTCATATTAGCTTGGTTAGTATAGATTACATCCAACAAGCTTGGGTTCAAAAACTAATAGAGAAAAATCATATGCTTCTAATCACGTATTAATTAAAATATTGATAAACAATAAATTTTACCTTTTGTGTTCGGAAATTAGACGTAAATTATTTATAAATTGATTTTTTCAGTACCATGTGAATCAATGACTAATCTTTCCCAAGGTAAGAACTACTATATGGCTAAATGCCGGAAAGTTACACATCATTGACGATTGTCAAGCGTCACGAGAGTGGCAGGTATATTCGTCGCGACATAATATCGATTTTCCGTTTTAATTGAGCCGCGGGCGGCGGCCGACGGTTTCAAACAAATTCGACGCCCGGCGTCTAATTAATCGCGTTGGGGCCGCGGCCCGGCGCTCATGAATCATCCTCTCCCGTTCTATATTCAGCCGCGATCCTGACGGAACGAGGCCAGGTGCTACCAGGTGCCTGGCGAGTGACCCTTTTTGCCTTGTTCTCTCTTTACTTATCTACTGGCATTCGGTATACCAGCGCCCCCCCGCCGAAATCCAATTATAAGTTGACGCTGATTTGCATGAAAGGGAGGCGGGCGATGTCCTCTCAATTTTCTCCGTAAATTATTATCGGTGTTTACCCCTCCCCCACCACCTAACCCGAACAACAAGCCGGTGTAACGCGCGTTAAACGAATTTGATCGGGAAGTTACCGGAGTTCGTCGGAGATTAATCGCCTGGGGGGGATTTGGGGTCGGGGCGCCCACCCCCCTTTCGTTGCAACTCCAATAATAATTTATTTTGACACGCGTAGTAGGTCGGAGCCGGAGGAGCCGTTGTTTTTTCCGCTAGGCCGCGGGCGTCGGGAAATCGCTTTTCCTGCGTCGTCGACGCCGATAAGACCGCAACGACCGTTAAAACGACGTCGCGGTTCGGTTTAATTTTGGTCGGGGACTAGGTTCGGCGTCCCCGACGACCCCCGAGTGTCGTAAAGCGGTGATATCGCGTTCTAGAAGATGGGGGGGTTGCTTTCGTGCCGTCGGGCTACGCGCCTCGTGCGTTTTCAGGATAATTAGCTTAACATGTCATCCATGTAAATGCGTGGAGAAAATTATTGTAGTTGAATTAAGGCCTTTCTTTTTAAATAATAATACTATATCAAGGTATCAACATGGCTTCTTACTTCGGAGATCAACCAAATGCTTAGATGACTGGACGAAAAGCTACGATAAAAATCAACAAGTTGATGTAATTTATTTGGATTTCGAAAAGGCTTTTGGCAAAGTTCCGCAAAAGCTCGAACACCACATGATTAGAGCAAATCTGCTACGTCTTATTGCTTCATTTCTGAAAGGTCGTTACTATCAAGTACGAGTAAATGGCAGTTTGTCAAATAAGGTGCTTAGTGGTGTTCCGCAGGGATCAGTTCTTGGTCCGTTGCTTTTTCTAATTTATGTAAGCGACATAAGTGAAAACATTTTATTCTTATATTTCTGATTTTTGCATTCATTTGCTGATGACACTCAGCTATGTTATTTCTACGATTCTAATTTATTTGATATTGCTTCAATTTATATCACACATGTTCAACAAGTCGCGTCGGGCCGTCCAAATCAAACGAACCGTCGTCCACCCCTCGCCGCTCCCAAAGCGTCGGAATTTCGTCGCCCAAACTTCCCCGTTAAGTTTGAATATTAGATTGAGTGCGACGTCGTCGGCTAAATTGCTTTTACGCGGCATCCCACCCCCGAGGCGCGCCCCGATCGAGCTTGGGGGGCGGCCGTCGTTAACAACCGCCCCCTCCACCCCCTCCGTCCGAGAAAGGTGCCGGTTTCGTGGTAAATTAAGCGTCCTCGCCGGTCGCATTGACGTCCCGTTCGTGGCAAGACAAATTTTTAATGCGGAAGCGATTAACCTCGAAGAAGCGGGCAAATCGATATGAAAGACGGCGAAAATCGAACGTTATGACGTTTTTAGGAGTCAAGAAACCGGGAACGACGCGAATCCGACGCGATTCGGACGTTAACGCACTTACAGCGACTTGCGACCAAGAAAATCATTCCTAAAAAATCGAACAAGTCTCAATTTGCATATATCGAAGGCTAAACAGGTCGATTTTGGCTCATTGACAGCTCGGGAAAGACGCGACGTTACATAAACCGCTTAATTTCGCGGCTGACGTTAATTGGACGCGTTTTCGACGACGCCACGACGTCCTATTGTAGTTTATTTTGCAGTTTGCCGTTTTTTGTACATTTAGGGAAGCTGGCGGTATAAAAACGGTTGTGCGCTATACGGAACGAGTAAAAATCACTTGCGCCAACAATAAATAACCAAAAACGCGTCTAAAATACATGGAACAAGTGTGTTTCTCGTGGTTTTGGCGGTTTGACTCTTTGGAATGTGTCCGATATAAAAAAATCATGAAACGCCGCGACTGACGTAAATTCGACGTTGCTACGACGTTGCCCGGTGGTTTATTAGCCGAAAACGCGGGATTTTATCCTGTCCGATGCGCTTAGAGACGAATAAAGTGTTAAATCAGATTGTTATTTTTATGAAAGGTAAAATAACGTGAATTTTTGGACTTACCCCAGTGGCCCCAGACTTCAAGGTCGATCTGGCAAATTGGCCGTAACTGTCATTAGAGTTTCGTCATCGCCGCGTTGGGCAATTTTCTTTGGATTTGTTTTTCCGCTCGGCGCCGCGTGATACCTCGAGCGTCGTCGGGCGTCGCGGCGTCACTGCGGCGGCTACGTGCGGCACTTTCGGACTGAACGCGACGGTCGCCGTCGCCGTACGAATCGGCGCGTCGCGGCGCATGTCGCACCCCTCCCCGCGGGGGTCGGCGGATGCGTTGTCGTTTTTCTTGGAAACAACTAACAATACCGCCGCCGTGCCCGGAGGCGGGTATTACATTAATAGTGGATAATAGAATACGCCGGTGCTTTTCAATCAAGTTTACAGCGACTAACACTAGAGATAAATTGTACGCATTTGTCGTCAGTTTTACTGTCGTAGAAAATAATTAAACCTAGCCAATCTGTAGGTCCTAAATTAAGAGCATCGGTCGAAATATTTAATCACATCAATAATAAAACTGGGCTGTGCTGGCGGTCCCTTTGTTCGCAATTAGTTGCCGTTTCTCTGGTAACGTCACCTACAATCGATAAAGGGGAAAATGCAGGCACGTCTTCTATTCTGTGACTCCCATAAATGACAAAATTTACGGCAGTTTCTATGAGAAACTCCCAACAAAGCTATGGTTTCATCAAATGAACTTGTCAACAACAGAACTCATTACCATGTGCGGGATAGAAAGCAATCATGGTCTCCAGTGCACCTCTATTGTGAATATGAACATATTCAGCTTCTAATTGCAAGTCCATATAACTTCGTAGGACAATTGATGCTCTTTCAGCGTCGGAAAGTTCAAAGAACACAAAATCTCGATTAATATCAGCAATGGTCGAGTATCCTTAGTAAACGTGCCCAACATTACGCGTAACTGACGAGAAGAAGACGTGATCCATGACGCGCCTGGCCGTTCTGCGTTCCGTGCAAACGTCCGTATAAATGTGTCAACAATCGCTGCGATTCGAAGACGATTTTTCTCGTTTCCAGCGACGATAATCCCGGACATACCAAGATCCGAGAGGTAAGCGACTACGACCACGTCCGCGCACGCCGAATTTCTCTTTGTTCTAGATGTCATGAATTTTTCGGTATGCGAGTTCTCGCTGGGCAGACAACGGTGCAGGCAATGGGTGCCGCTGATCACGCAGCAAGTACGCCCGCGCATTACGAAGCGACAACCGAAGGGAAAACGCCCCTTTGTTTTGATTTCAGCTGCGGCTGAGACACGTATACCAAATTTTGGCGTTCAATTTGCGAGGCGACGTCAAAGGTAGCGGCGGCTTTTACTTCACGCTGCACCGCACGTCGATGAGCTCGCCGTTCTACGCGAGCGCCAAGGCCTCGGGCCGCCACCCCAAATGGCCCGAGGTGGTATCCGACGAGGCGAACAACTCGTCGGCGGCCGACGTCGTGGTGAGGGTGTGGCGGGCGTCCAAGACGGGCGACGATGCCGTGGTGCTCGCGTGGGGCGTCAATTTTTCGGGTCTCGCGTATTTGGGCAACAAAATCGCGGACCTGCAACCCGCCTACTTCCGCGACGACACTGTGATATTTTTTATGCGCGGCGGTTACTTTACCAGCCACCTTTACTTGCGGAACGATCCGACGTCGAAGCCGACGCCACCCCGACTGACCAAAAACCTGAACTTGATCGACAACGGGCGGGGTAAACTGTTGTACAGGCGGGTGGCGACCAAGAATCGCGCGGCCGAGACGTTGCCTAGCTACGGCTCCGAGAAGCTGCGCAAGCTGATCGAACTGCAGGCGAAGATACGCGAACGGGCGGCGGATGTGCGGGAGGTGAAGGAAAAAATTAAAAACTGCAGTCAGAAGTCGGCGGCGGATCAGGCAGGCGAGTTGACGGGCGTCAGGTTCGCGTCTCAACTGCTGACGATGAACACGCTGAACAAGATGCTGCGCGAGAAGCCGACCCAGAGTCAGCGCGACGAGATGACGCGCGTCAGCAAGGAAATCGAGGTGGCCAAGTTCAAGATACGCATGCTGACCCAGGAGCGCGACAGAAAGTGCGCCTACTTGCGCAAACTGAGAGCGATGGAGGAGAAGATGACCGAGGAGAACGAAGAACGAAGTAAGAGCGGAATAAACGAAACGGTACAACTTTAATTTTGAGACGTGCTTGCGAATTTTACCGTAGAACTTAATAATCGCGATGGGGCTTAATAAGACCGGAAAATAAGTCGAGACATTTGACCTACTCGATGCGACAAATTTTAACTTAAGAAAAAAAAACTAAGATGATGGTAGTATACTTAAAATTTATTAGGAACAAAATTTGAATGACGTTTCATTGACTAATTCGTGTTGCTCACTGAGCGGTTTATCCCAAGGAATCTGTGTATTCTTGCTTCTTAAAATAAATAAATACCCGGTACGTTTGAACTACTCGAAACGTCGTTCTTCAGGTTCCGACCTGATGGCCCGCTACCACACGCTGAGCAGGGACGGGGAGAAACTGAAAGAGTACAAAAAGAGCCTGCTGCACCACAGGGAAGTGTACGAGCACATCAGTTCGCAGCTGCACCACAGGCAGGCGCAGTTGCTGCGCATGCTGCTCGCCATCTACCCGATACGTCAAAACGCCGACGGGAAGTATACGATTCACGGCGTCCACCTGCCCAACTCGGACGTCTTGGCGGAATGCTCGGATACGGGGCTGTCAGTCGCCCTCGGTTTCGTCACCCACACCCTGGTGATGTGCTCAATATTCCTGCAGGTGCCGCTGCGGTACCCGATGGTCCATATGGGGTCCATGTCTATCATCACGGACCAAACGTCACCCCTGTTTCCCGACAACGAGCGGCAGTGGGTTTAGCAACGGGGCCCCTTCTCACCTGCTTCTATTACTATGGTCGTTTCAGGTTCCCGTTGTTCACCAAGGGCAAAGAAAAGGTGCATTTCGGCTACGCGGTGTACTTGCTGAACAAAAATCTGGCCCAGTTCCGTTGGTTGACGTATCTCCACACCCCCGACCTGCGCGCCACCTTACCGAACTTGCTGCAGTTTTTGCAGTCGGGCAGGTACTCGAGGTCCGACACCCCGGTGCTCAGCAGTCTGGAAAACGTGGCCGCGGCTGACCGATCGTCCCTCGACAAATGGGTTAGTTTGACCTCTATCGGTACTTCGATGAGCTCTAGTGTTAACGATCCTATTCTAGGTAAATCGACACATAAAACACACAGCGCTTATTGTTCAAGTTCGGTGCTCTGTTCGCGAGAGAAAAGTAGCGTAGGGGCGCGCGTTACCCAATTTTTTGTTGTTGTTGTTGCAGAAAGTGTGAGGCGCGAGATAAAATCGCAAAACGCGGCGCTCAAGGCGCCCCACAAACGACCGAAACAGGGCGGCAGAGGTCTTGGCGAGATACTCGCCATACCCGAGGCGTATTTGAACCGGCAAATCAGCAGGGACCTGTTTGAGCGGTTCGTCAGCTCGAGGGACTTCGCCCCGAACGCAGGCGTACGCGGTAAGATATGATGTTGCATGGTGTAAAGATAGGAAAAATTGATAATTATACTAGAATAGAAAAAAATATATATTCAGATATATGCTAAAATAAAACAAAAAGAATGCAATTCATCTATATGGGATCTATATCACTGTGCTCGTTTAAAAATCGTATTGTTAGCCATCATGAAAATTTACATGAAAAGGTGGTGATATGTTTAGGCTGATTCTGTTTAGTGGTTCAGGGCACTGGGCAATATTATTCGACAGTTTACAAATTACCTTCCCGATATTGATACTCTGGTAAAGGTTGCAGCTGGTATTCCGACCTTAAAATTACAATACCTCAAGAACTTTTTGATTGATCAAGAACAGGCGACCGAGTTAGTGCTGCATATGCAAGGGAGCAGTACACCAGTTTGTGTGATGTTTTTGTATTGTGCGATAAGTGATCTTTAAAATCAACATTTTCGTTAAAAATTACACCCAGATCTCTAACCCGATTTTTATAATTAAATTTTTCATCATTGCAATCCAATTGCACTTTTTTTACTGCCCTTAAAAAAGCCAATAAAAAAACACTTATCAGTATTTCATTTGAGGGTGTTACTATCTTCTTGTAATATTCGTATATCAATTGGTTTTAGGTATAAAAAAAAACTGATTGTAGCAAAATGTCAAAGAACAAAAAACAACCAATGAAAATACAAACAATTATGAAAAAAAAAATAAATCAATCTGGAGTAGAAACACTTAACTACTAGGTACCCTTTAACTTTTTTTTTTAAAGATATGTCATCAAAAAGCGCGTACAGACACAGAACAAAACATTCTTTTTATTTTTAACTGAAATTGAGTTTGATATCAATAATACTGAAGTGACCGGAACAGACTCTTAATTTCATAGTAAGTAAGTAAAGAAATTTGGTGCCTTAGCTATTGTCAATAGACATTCTCAATTTAAGAAAAGTTTTTAGTAAATTAGTGAAAAAGTTGCTACGATAATTATGATTAGCGAAGATTTTAGTGCTTTTATGCTTAATTTTATCGTCTCCGCTGAAAATGATCGTCGTAGCCAATTCTAGCAATAGCTCTTGTTTGTTTATGCGATTTAAAAATGACAAAAGAAGACAAAGTACTTTATTAATCACCTCAGTAGTTTAGATAAACTACCATTCTTAATAGTTTTATTACTCGAAATCGTTGAATGTTGAGTTTTATCGAAGTTCAGTTTTCAAACCAATTATTTGCTAAATGTTCACTTTTAATTCTTGAATGTTTCTCAATAAGCATACACCAGTGTTCACGAACGCTAATAGCTTAATCAAAACTAAGCTTTGGGGGACTCCAATTCATAGGCTTTTTACAGTTAAAAATCTCTCTTCGATACTCAACATGTACACTACACGACAAGCTTTGAATTTGTATCGAATAAAGGTGAAATTGAGGTGTGGCGGTACCTGCACGACCACAATATTTAATAAGTAAGGAACTTTGACTAAAAATGCTGACCTTTCGGCTCCTGCCCAAGTAAAGCACGGTACTCACTTCAACGTCGCGGCAATTAGTCCTGCACACTCGTCAAACGCCCTCGGCGATTATGAATTTCCACCCGAATATCGTCAAAAATAAAGTTGAAAACTTTTACTTCCGCGTTTTTAAAATTCGTAATGGCGGTGGCCGTCCGTGAACGAGGTTTACCAACCCTGAAATTCTCTTCTTCTTTTCATTGCGCGGCCTGAGCGTACTTCAGGCACGCGTTTCCTTTTTGTGACGTCACCGCATTACCTCGGTATGGGTTTTTAGACGAAGGCAACGTGGCTATTAAAATAAAGGAAGGCACCGAGGAGAGAGAAGAGACGACGGATCCGATGAACGTGGAGCAAGGCACCGACACTTTGGACCCGTCGTTCAATTTCGCGACCAAATCGATCGATATACATTCCGGCCGGCAAACCAACCAGAGGCGGCGGCTTAGTCGTTCTATGGGCTCCTACACGGACGAGGAGAGCGATGACGGTCTTTCGAAGAGCCTTTTGGGGCTCGGCTCCGACCCGGCCATCTACGAGCCGTTAGGGCAGTGCCTCGAGTCGCCGCCGTGGGGCCCGTTGACCGAGCGCACCGACAAACTGTTGTTGGTGACGCCATTCAATTTGGTCAAATCGAAACCGACCAATTAAATATACCGTGGTGGACGCGTTTATTTATTTCAAATTTATAATAATGCTAGCGCAAATAAAGTAAGTTCAAACGACGGGGTGGTTTTATTTCTTGGTTCTCGCCGTGGCCGCCCTCTTAGACGCGTTTTTACCCTTGTCTTTGGGTCGGTCGGCAGGGCGCACGTTGGCGACGCGTTCGGGATTTGGGTGAGCCACGGAGAAGATGTTGTGATCGATCACGTTGACGTGATCGACGTCGTAGCGGTGCGCTTCGACCAGGTTTCGGTCTTCGAGCAGCACTCCGGGCGCCATCAGGGTGAAAATTTCACGGCTCCATTCGGGTAGGCCGTCGTTTGAGAACGCGTACTCCCAACATGGGACGCCCAGGTGCGCGATGCACATGCGAAAATAGGTCGTGAAGTCTTCCGCGAGGTACGCGAAAGACATGGCGCCGTGGTACAACCACACGGACGGCTGCGCGTACGTCGTGGGGTACACGAGCACCACTCGGGCGTCGCCGTCGACCGCGACCAACTCAAACACTTTACTCTCGCGTGACAACGTTAAACTACAACCTTCAATTTGAGCCGCGCCCTTGGTCTCGTACCCGTACACCCTGACGAGTTCGTTGACGGGGTTGATCGCGATCTTGCCCGTGCGGGGCCGCCCCTCGCCCCCCTGGTAGTCGTACGAAAAGTCGTAAGTGTACAGGAACCCGTTGGTGGAAGAATAGAACGCGCGCAGGTCTTCCGGCAAGATCACCCCGTTGTTGTGCTCCCACGCGCGCAGCTCGGCCTGTCTTACGCCCGGGTACCTCGCGAGCGTCGCGTTAGAAACGCACGGGCACCTCTCCAACACTTTCGGCACCCCGAGCAGCAGGTTTTCGTAGAACGAGTCCTCGGACACCTTGTCCACGACGAATCCCATCTTCCTGACAAGCACTGACCACCTGCCCGTTATCCGTGACCGCTTCCCCTGTGGTCTGCGCGAAATTATGTCACGCGGGCGTTAATATTCTCGTAAGCAACACCCCTAGACGATTACGGCAGTACGGGTACTGTGCACCGCCGACTCGAAATTTGACGCATCGTTTAATTATTTATTATCGACGAAACAGGGTTTGCGGTCGAGACCCGGCGCGTAGATCAATAACCCTGCCGGCGGGAACATTCGAACGGTGGTCCGTGGCGTCGGGCGCGCGTGCGCGACACCGTCGCGATCTCCGATTGTCAAACGAGTCGAAACCGATGCAGAGAGAACTCGGTCGGATGGTATGTCGTTTCGCGTCGCGTCAAGTTGGGTTTGATGTTGTGCCGTGAAAATGTGGTCGCCCGTCGTGAAACAGACCTTTGCCAGTAGAATCTACAGTGCGACGAACCATGACCGAATCGTCTGAAGAGTGAGTAGCGATTTTTTTAACACCCGGGGGTTGGCCGCCGCTCGCGGCCATCATTTCCCGTGTCCGACACGGGAAACGGCCGCCCGCCTGCGGCACGCCAAAGTCGATTCATCGCGGCACGGTCGATTTTAATCAATGGACTCCATTCATGAATGTCGTTTCCTTGGTTCGATTCATTCCGACGCCTCGACATTGGCCGCCGATGCCGTCGCCCACGCCTCGCTTAAAAACGAGGGGGGCTCGTTTTTTCCGTCACTTCGCCCCTGCCGTTTCGCGTCGGGTCGTTTGTTGTGCGCGGCGGCGTTATGGCGGTGGTCGGGACGTGGTGACGGGGGCGGGTTGCGGTTCCGCACGCGTAACAGGTGCCGCGGCGGAAATTGGACACGCGGAGAGCGTCCCCGTCGCGGGTACCGCGGGTACGGCCCGTGGTACTTACTCCATGTAACGTGAAAGGGAAATTTTTCGATGTCATACGATTAATCGAGGCGGCCGTGGCTCTTCTTCTTGCGCGCGGCCTTGGGGCGACATCTTGGCAGACGCTCGCCCCGTTACGGATATGATAAATGCTTCGTCGTTATTTCGCCGCCCCTCAATTTTTTTTTAAACCCCTCGCACACCGCCCACCCCACCCACCCCCGGCGGGGTCTATATTTAGACCGCGCAGGACCGGGGGCTTGACCCACATTCTTCACCGGTGGGGGTTGTTGGCCTCCAGCTAGACCATTCATGCACCGAAGTAGGTCAAAACAAACTCCCACCGCCGCCGCGTGACGTCGCCGTGTATAATGTAAAACAATCGAAACCGGCGATTTTTGCGAAAAATCGGCGCTGCACTTATTTTTACGTGGACAGTTGTCGCCGGGGTTAATCAATCGCAACGATGGAAAAAGCGGTCTGCGAGGGATTTCGGCGTAAAAAAAAAACGCGCGAAACGATTGATTATTTCGCGAGGCGGCGGCGGCAACGCCGCCAGGGGAAGGTTTAACCTACATACTGTACATGAATGACTGTTACAGAGCGGGTATCAACCCCCCTCTCACGCCGCGAAGTGGGTCGCGGACTTGTACCGGGCGACCCGCGAAAATGGGACGCTAGCCGGGCGACGGCGGCAGGGACGAGATTTATTTTTAGACGGGGGCGGACGGGGACGTATACGAGGAGGGGCGAAAGAGCGCGGCATGAATGGGGGCGCGGCGTTATCGGGTTTGTTCATTCACCGCCTGCCTCCCCCCTTTTTTAATGGACCCTCTTTTCGGTGGTCCGTGTCCCGTCGTCATTATCTGGTCCGTGTTTTAAAGGGTATGCTTTGGAAAAAAGTCAAATTTGAAACGTCAAAAAAGGGCGCGTAACGCGATTGGCGACGGGCGTGGCCCGACGATGACCCGGCCCGACGTTGCCGGTTTTCCGCGTGAATGGGGCAGGCCTAGGCGGCCCCCGAAAGCGGGTCATTCGGGACGCGTGCAAGGGGCATCGAACCTGTCACCCGGTTACCCGAATTCCCGGAGGGTGGGACGGGGGGGGGGGGGAACGTCGGTGACGTCAACGGGGACGCGGAGATCTCGGCCGACGCCGGGGGTATCTGGCAGTCGTCGGAGGCGTCCCACGTATATCGCTTCAAAGTCCTCTTTCGTTGTGACGCGTTTTGTGCTCCCTGTTTCCGCCATGAAAATCCAAACTGGGAACGCGTAGTAAGTGCTCTAAATGCCAAATTAAACATTGACTTTGAAGCGGGTGCCAAAAAAAATAGTTCAGATGCACTTTTTTTTTTGTAGAAATTTTGGTGAAAAGCGATATTTGACTTTCGGTGCAAAAGATTTCCGTTTTGTACAGTTTTTTATTATTTTTGAAATTTAGATCCAGGTAGTCAACTAATCTAACCAAGCCAGAAATGTCAAAATCAAAATCGAGTAGTTAAAAAACCAACAAATGACGCTCTATGGCCGAATGACTCCGGCAATTTCGGCCATTGGCGGGTAAAAATTTAAAAAAAAAACTTGTTTGCAGCGACTTCTTTCCTTTTCTTTCGAAATTTTGGTGAAAACCGTTATTTCACTTTCGGTGCAAAAGATTTCCGTTTTGGTTAGTTTTTTATTGTTTTTTTTTTTTTTTAAATTTAGATCCTGTCAACTAATCTAACCAAGACCGAAATTTCAAAATCTCGGAAGTCAAATCGGATAGTTCAAAATCGACAGGGTGACAATTAGCATTCGCATTCGAACCTGGCAGTCGCGGCCGCTGCCTGAATAAAAAAAAATGGCGTTCGTTGACCCCGGCAATTTCAAAATTAAAAAAAAACTTCGTTTGCAGTGGCAACTATCTGGTGCGCGTGCGCGCTCAGGTGATGTCGCGCGACGACTCGTCCGGCGGCTGGGTACCGCTGGGCGGCGGCGGTCTCAGCAACGTGTCGGTGCGCAAGCGGCCGCGGCCGCAGGGCTCCGCGCCCGGTCCCCCCGACAAGCCCAAGCACGACTACCTCATCTACGGCAAGCGGATCAGCGACAATTCGGTAAGGATCTTTTGCGCAGCTCCGCGGCATTACGTTTTAACGCCGTCTGCGCGCGCAGGTGGTGCTCAGCTGCACCATCAAGAAGGATTTCGAGTACAACAAGGTGATGCCGACGTTCCACCATTGGCGCACGGGCGACAAGAAGTTCGGGTTGACGTTTCACACGGCGGCCGACGCCAGGGCGTTCGACAAGGGCGTGCGCACGGCGATCGAGGACCTGCTGGACGGTAAGCGCCGGGTTCCGTCATCCCACACCCCCACCCTCACCACCATCCGACCTAGACGGACGAAAAAAAAAAAGCGCGTGTCGAACAGTTTCGGGGATGGGTGGGGTTTCGGATTTTTTTTTCTATTTTTTTTTTTAATCGCGTGGTTCCCAGGGTAATCCCCCCCGTATCCTCGAAACTGTTCGGTCGGCTGGGGGGCGGGGGGTCATATTTACATTTTTCCACGCACGCGCGCGCGCGCTCTCTATCTCTGGCTTTATGTTCCATCGCTTCCCGAACGACAGGATTCCTGCACGGTAAGTCGCTCCGTCATAGTCCCCGCTAGCGTGACGCGTCGCCTATTAATATCGACGGTAATTAAGGCAATTGCGCGTAATTGGGCCGCGAGCGCTGCGTTCTCGGGATTAGCCTGGGAAAATCTTTCATTGTTGTCTTTCAACGCGAGATTCGTTTTTTTTTTTTTTTTTTTTTTTTTTTCAAGGAAATTTCTCTGAATTACTAAAATAATCACGTGTTTTCGATTAAAATTACATGTGCATATCCTGTCCTCGTAACTCCCTTAAATTCCAGCGCACTTACCCCCCCCCCCCCCCCTTTTTTTTTAACACGGTGTAGTGGTATCTTAAAACGGGCGTTCCTGTTGTCGCCTGCAGGTTTCACCGACACGTCCCCGACGGCGCCGCTGCCCAAGTGTCCGCACGACGTAGGCGACGACGACGTCTTTATGGTAAAAAAATAAATATCCCCCCCCCCTGGCGCGTAACACCCCTTCGGTCCCGTTTCCAGACGCTCGACCTGCCGCAGGACCCGAAGGACTCGCGCAGCAGCACCGACTCGAACAGTAGCGGCAGGAGCGACCACAAGCGCAGGATCGCGTACGTCACGCGCGACAAGCAGCCCCCGGACCCGTCCCGCCACCACCCCGTCTACGACGCGCAGAAGGGTGAGCGGTTATTCTACCTCGAAATAGGCGTGGTGTGATTTTGAATAGAACGCTATTTCAGTAGATGTCACATTTGAAGCTGTAATTTTTCGACATTTGACAATTAGAATCCACGTCATTAATAAAAATGGAACGATACGCGCTTGTCGGTTCCGCGATACAGAAATTGGTGGAAAAATTCGAGTTGTCGAGACAAGGCAAGAACAATAGGGAATAGGGAACTTGAAGATTTTTTTTTATTCCTTTAATACATTTGTTTATGTATAGAAATAACGTATACCAAATATCGAAACTCAAAACCCAATATTTAAGTTGCGAGCCGGCTATTCCTTTCCTTAAATGCGCGGGAATAATCGTGACGTCATACCGCTGCTTTTCGATCGATACGGCGGTTTGTTATAGTGTTATTCTCCGGTTATAGGCCGAGAATTAAATCATTGGCTCGTGTAAAGGTGTGTTTGTATTTAATTTACCCCAGTTTGTGTTTGTGCTTAGTGATAACAATGGAAGCAACACGAAAACAATATTGCAAATCGTGTTTGAGTACAACCCGCAAAACGGCAGATAAACCTTTTAATCGTGTACCAGAAAATAAAAACCATTGTTTTTTGTTAACATATGTTCAGGTGCCACTGTAGCCTTAACTGTGCAAACGTCTTTAATTCTTCCAACTTGCACCCATCCTATTGCAGTCTGTCCCATAGACGAAACGGAGAATTGAGTTTTGAGCTCTTTGTATTCGGGTTTTATTACTCTTATGATCCGGGACAAAATCAGAATAGTTAAAATTGCCTAGTATATGCCTGTTATTATAAAGCATCTTTAGTGAGCAGTAGATTTTTTTGAAAACAGATTTTAGATGTTCCTTAAATCGAAACTGAGTACCATACATACCAATACGACCGCCACATTCCTTGTAGTAAATTTTGATTTAGTGTCATTAACTTTAATGTTAAATCTACCGAATCAAGGGATAGTTTTGTTTGTACTACCGAAAATCATGATTAGGTAGGGTTTCGTTTTTGATATATAAACGTAGATTGTTACACGCTCTAAACATCATCTAAATGACGAAACATGTTAGCAAGAAAGAACCAAAAATTTGTAGTCAACATTTGCATAAGGGGGCGTATTTTGAATAGACGCACCGCCACTGTGACGTGCTCCATAAACCCAATGAGTGAGCGGCCACGCCTCCAGTCTAAAATCGACTCTTTATCCATGTCTAAAGGGGAGGTGTTTAGCAGATCGTCGCCAAGCCCCAAGGCGTGGCTCTATCTGGTAGCCACGCCTTTTACTTAGCCCCACCCTCGCGATTTCAGGCGAGAACTACCCGTACGTGCAGCTAACCGCCGTCCACGACTACCTGTACCCGTCGGACGAGCAGCAGCACAAACAACCGCCCCCGCCGCCCCACTACCTGAGGCGAGTGTGCGAGTCCCCGTGCGATCTCAAGAAAGCGCCGCCTGCGGCGGCGGCGGGTCTCATGACGCCACCTCCGCGCCACCCGCCCCTCCCCGTCAAGCAGGCGATCAAGAAGGCGCCGCAGAGGTGCCGGCACTGCAACGAGGTAAAAATCCCCCCCCTGCCCGACCACCCCGTTCCGCAGCGGTTAAACGTTTTCTCGCTCCCAGGTCTTCTCGCAGGAGAGAAACTCCCGAGGTTCGTGCGAGTACGGGCCCGACCCGGTGGCGAACGCCATCGACACAGTGACGTGCATGTCGTGCCTCCAGTGCGCGATGTACCACTGCGCGGCCGACGCCGAGGGCGATTACGCGGGACCCGCGTGCCCGTGCGCGGCGGCAGGGCGCCGCGAAGCCGACCGCGGCGACGACGACGCCTGCCGCTGGCTCGGTTTCGCGTTCTTCGCCCTCCTCGTGCCGTGCCTATGGCTGTACCCACCGTTGAAGATGTGCCACTGGTGCGGCACCCGTTGCGGCATGTGCGGCGGCCGCCACAAGGCCGCCGTGGGGGCGGCGGACAAATGAACGCCCCCCCCACCCGCCCGGTGACGCGAGTGAACCACTACCACCTTGCCGCCGGTACGGACGAACTACCGCGAGTGTTCGGCGGCGGGGTAGGTCAAACGTACCGTAGCCGGCCCCTTTTCGCGTAATATTTATTGATTTGATTTTTTTTTTCGATAGGGTTGAAACGACTGTGATTTTAATGATAAGCATAATTTTTTTTTCATCCCCTCCCCCCGACCCCATTCTTCGATGAACGGTGCTCAACGCGGGCGAGTCGCTCCTACGCTTCCCCCACCCGCGCCTACGTGGACTATCGTCCGCGTACTGCCATTATTTTTTTTTCCTCGGGTGGGGGGAGCGGCGCTCGGGAACACGCGAAAGTGTACATACATACCGTATCGACAATACAGCCATCCCCCGCCCCTCGCTTAGGCCGTCGAAAGAAACGGCACTACCGCACCGCGATTGTACATAAACGGTACGAGAGCGACGTTAGAAACGGAGCCTCGTCCGAGCCGTGTTTTTGTGTGTTTCTACTCGTCGGGGAAAATATGGCGCGTTTTCCGGCGTAAACTGGCGCCCGGCGCCCGTCCAAGGGCTCTGGACCGGCACGGAGGCCGCGATCCGCACGTTAAACGAACCAAAACCCACGTCGCAAATGAACCCGTAGGTTAGTCAATATAAATCCAACAGTTGAATGTTAAATTGTATTTTGATTTGTAAATAAAGTAAATGTTTATTATAACCGGGCGTTTTTTTCGCGTTCCGGGAGTGCGGACGAGATGTCACGCCGCGGACGGACGGAGATCAAGACGGTTTACGTCACGCCGCGGACGGACAGAGATCTGAACGGGTTCGCTGACGCAAGCCGAGACGTTAACAATATTGCACCAATCGGAAATCAAAAAATTAAGTGTGCCCTGGTATTCGTTTTCTCTGCGTTATTAATGATAATTTTTTTTTGTTGGATAGATCTCTGAAAAATCGACCTAAAGTCATGGCCAACTGCGACCAATTTTTGAGAAGGGTGGATAGGGTTTTCTTTAAGAATAAAGGGTCAACGAATTCTTATTCAAGACTAACATAAAACCTAATTATACTAATTTCCACTGAGTTCACTTAAGCATCACTCCTGTAGAATGTTTATAACTCAATTTTGATAATTCTTTTTTGCTGAATAGATCTTATTAAAGAGAAATGAAAGGGGTTTTTCATATAGCACCGACTAAGTCATGGGTAAATGACACAGTTTTTTGACGCGGAAAATCGAGAAGTACTTTTAGCGATTTTTTCAAATTGAACATGATATATTCAGGACTACCTAAAATTGAAAGTTTTTAATGTTTTAAATAAGTAAATATTACAAACCTTGTAAATAACACGTGTATCAAAGATTTTACAACGATGTACAACCTTAAGCGGGTACAAAAGATATTTCAAACAAACTGTATTGAAATTTATATAGTTGGGTTCTTCCTAACAGTTAAATGGTCTCAGTTGGCCATGACTTTAAGTTGAAACAATTGGCAAATCAAGATTTTAGTGCACTTTTCAGGGACCTATCCAACAAAAAAAAAAGAAAATCGAACTAAAGATTCTTACGTGGGACTGTAGATATGTATTTTCCTGATTTCATTTAAAGTTCTTTGCTATTACTCAGTACAAATCCACTGAAAACTGCTATTACTGCTGCTGGATGCTACTTTTTACTCCTCTTTGATAAAAATAGAAAAAAAAGGGTTTCACCGAATTTTTTTTTATTTTTGGCATTTTTTCACAGTTTCCTTTTTTTTCCTACGTGTAGGCTGTTCTTTTGCTGAAAGAAATTGAGAAACGAGGGGTGTGTTGCCAACTCTATAGTGTTTTCCTTAGAAAAAGTACAAAATCTAAATCCTGTGTAATTTAGATTTCAATTTATCCTTAAAAACATTAAATTGTTACTGAATGTATTGAATGCTTTGAATTTAAAACGTTTTTAAAATTTAAAAAAACAATTTCGGTTAGGAATTAAAATTAAATACGTCACCGCCTGTCATTGCCAGAAAGCGTAACCTACACCTTTTATTATTGCACGTGGTTATTGTCCGACATGACGCCGTCGATCATATCCTGCGACCTCTGCCACAGTTCTTTGGCGACCTTGTCGTAAAAAATGGTTTTGCTGTTGTAATGCGCGCAGTCTCTGTACAATAAGCCGGTCTCCGCATCCAATTTGGGCTCGGTCGCGCAATACACGACCGTTTCGGAGCCCTGCTTGCAGTTGCGCATGAAAAAGAAGGCGACGGGCGCGACCATGACGTAAAAGTACCACCGGAAGTGCCTGAAGAGGGCGCTGTATACCCAACCGGGACAAACCGCGTAAACTTTGACGCCTTTTTCTTTGGTCCGCCTAGCTAGCTCTTGAGCGAAGTAGACGTTCGCAAGCTTGGAGTTTGCGTACAGGTTTTCCTTAGGCGGTGCTTCCGAGCCATTGAGATCGTGCAAATTCAGCCTGCCCTTTTCGTGTAGCGATGAGGCCACGACCACCACCCGACCTTTGGCGTTTGCTAGTAGAGGTTCTAAGAGGTTGGTGAGGAAGAAGTGACCCAAGTGGTTCACGCCAAAGTGTACCTCGAACCCGTCAGAGGTCTCGAGCTTGTGACCTTTCGGGTAGGCGACTCCCGCGTTGTTGACGAGCAAATCCAGCTTGGAGAAGTCCCGTTTCACTTCCGCCGCGAAATCCTTGACCGATTTCAACGACGACAGGTTCACGGCCATGGGAATCTAAAATTACCGGCTACGTGTTTCGAATTGCGACCTATCGGCGAACTAACCAAACCTGGCGCGTTATCTAACTGCCTTTTAATTTTATCGGACGCGCGTCGCGCGTTATCCAACGTCCTGCACGCCAGAATAACCTGCGCGTCGCGTCTCGCCAACTCCTTGGCGACCTCGAATCCGATACCCGAATTGGCACCGGTTACGAGGGCCACCTTCCCGTCGAGTTTTACGCGGTTGGTGCATCTGCCCCACTTACTTTCGCGGTATTTTCGCAGCAGGATCAGAAAAAGGACCGCGGGGATCGCGTAGAACGGAAAAGCGTGCGTCATCGTTGAAAATTCGTATTTTGAGGTTAAGATTCGATTGAATCTCCGGTAACAGATTACCGAGGTTAGCGCCCCGTCATGTGAAAAGAAGAAGAAGCGTACTTTGTCCATTACCGAAAGTGCTAAACGAGTCTTGTTAATAAATTCTGAACGGCTTCGACGTTTTGCTTTTAATAGAAATATATCGATCATAAATCCAGTGCCGCTGCATTTTTCAAATGTCCACGATTAATTACATTCTGTGATTACGTTCGACGTTGACAGTTCGCCGAGTGGAGTGCGTTTGTCTACGTGTAGAAAATGTACGATTTTTGTTTTTGTATCGTTTCCGACGCGTGAGGCACGATTACCGAGTGTTCCACTTTAGACTTTAGTATCCAATAAATAAAGCGACATGCTCAAGTTTCACGTTCTCGTGGTGAGTTTGCTGCTGGGTCGGGCGTCTACCGACGAGCACAACCACATAGTGAGTATATCATCTTTAGCCCTCCCTTGGCCGCAATTTGGCCATCGGAAAGGGCGAATTTTAAACACTTAACCGTACTTTTATCGACTTCTAAGAAGTCGGAGAATTTGTAATGTATAATGGTGTGGTATTCACTTGCATGGTTTTTTTAATTCTCAGCCGAGTATTTTACATTAAATTGCTTAAAAAATCTAAACGACAAACTAAATTTAAGTGGACGCCCCTCGAGGTCTTTGCAATTAAGAGCACGCTTTCCCCTTAAGTGTGTAATCCGTGTCTTTTGTAAACGAAGGCTTAATTTGAAAGATAAGCGCCCGATTTGATCCTATATTTGATATCAACGGTAAGAGTACGGAGGGAGTTTCTGGCAATTCGAAAAACGTCAAAATCATTGACGTCGTATCTCGCTATGTATAGTACGAAGACAACGAAGAGGTGGTACTGTGGATGAACACGGTCGGGCCGTACCACAACCGGCAGGAAACTTACGGGTACTTCTCGCTGCCGTTCTGCGTCGGCTCGAAGGAAACGATAAGCCACTACCACGAGACGCTCAGCGACGCGCTCCAGGGGGTGGAGCTCGAGATAAGCGGCATCGAGATCGAATTCAAAAACAACATGGCGAAGAGCGAGTACTGCGCGGTGCAGCTCGACGACGAGAAATACAAGGAATTCGTTTACGCTGTGAAGAACCACTACTGGTATCAGATGTACATCGATGACCTACCGATATGGGGCGTGGTCGGCGACGTCAAGGACGGCTCGTACTACATCTGGACGCACAAAAAATTCGAGATCGGCTACAACGGCAAGCAGATCATCGATGTGAACCTCACATCCGAGGACAAAGTGCTGCTCAGACCGACGGAGAAGCTGAGCTTCACGTACGAGGTTATCTGGCTTCGGACCGACACCAAGTTCGAAGATCGTTTCGACAAGTACCTCGACCATAACTTTTTCCAGCACCGGGTGAGCCGGGTCCACGTCCCACCTCTCGTTTCCTCTCACCCGCCGCTATTCAATTGCAGATCCACTGGTTCAGCATCTTCAACAGTTTCATGATGGTGATATTCCTCGTCGGCCTCGTGTCCATGATCCTGATGAGGACGCTGCGGAAGGACTACGCGCGCTACAGCAAGGACGACGACATCGACGACATGGTGAGTGGCTTGGAGGTTATGTGGGGTCGATAATGGGTAAAACGCAGGAGCGCGACCTCGGCGACGAGTACGGCTGGAAGCAGGTCCACGGTGACGTCTTCCGTCCCGCCTCCAACTCGCTCGCGTTCTCCGCCCTCGTGGGGGCGGGGCATCAGCTCACCACCGTCGTGCTCAGCGTCATAGTGTTCGCGATGCTCGGCGAGCTCTACACCGAGTAAGTAGGCCGTAGGTACACCGTGTGCCAAATAAAACGATCCACTGGAAACCCATAGGAGATAAAAAAAAATTCGTAGAAAAGTTTCTTTGGCTCTCATGAATATTTAAAATATTATAATCCAGATATACGAATTACATGGAAATTTTGAAAAAATCTACTCTAAACTACGCACCCTCATAGAGTTATTAAATCTTTAGAATTTAATTAATTTAATTAAAACCAAAAGTAAATTAAAGTTTATACGTTAACTAAACAAGGTGAGAAATTTTAATAAATCAATCTATAAAACAAAAAGTGAACTAAAAAGAGTTTGTTTTTTTCGATCCATAAAGTTCAGTTAAAAATGTTCCTCTTAAAATGCTCGTTTCATCTGCCATCAAAACAACAAAGAAATATCATAATATTTAAAAATGTAGTTGGCCATGACATCACAATCTTTTTTTGTTTTTGACCCATTAGGGTGTAAACAAAATTTGACATTTCTGTTTGTTTTTTGTTGTTTTTCTATATTTCTATTTAAGAAGTATCTTTAAAAGAAGTAGTATAATGTCTCTGCTATTAAAAAAAACACCTAATATTCCCAACAAGTGACCTAACGTGGGCGGCTTTATCTTAAAGTTCGAATATCTCAAAATATAAGTAAAACTTTTATAAGATAAATTACAAACTTACCTTATTTTTTTGTCCTAGAATTGATATCTGAATAAAAATATAGCGTGTTCTATTTGAAAATCTTGAGATTTTGTTAATTGAATCCGCCAAAACATCCCTACTTAGTTTGGACACCTTGTATAAGCGGAGGCGCATCTGTCAAACTGATTTACTAGTGCATCATCTCATTAGTCTGTGGTTAAATTTTCGTTGCAATACTTGGATCAGTAGCGTTACGACACAATTTTATATGGGGCAATCAAAATATGAAAAAAAAAACACATTTAACGTCAATTTCTGCCTAAACTATGCAAAATTCGAATAGAAAGTGAACTTTATTTTAACCGAGGATTCTAAAAATTTCGAAATATGCAGGGCGTTCCACTTAAGATAAAGTTTATGTTGGGGCGGACACTTTAGGGACACCCTGTATCAACAAAATGATAATATTTTAAATCTTCTGAAGAATCCACGAAACTTCCAGGATTTCCAGATTGTAAAGTGAATTGTTTTATTTGGCACACGGTGTACAAACGAACTACTCACCCGACGGCGCGCGTTTTAAGGCGGGGCATGCTGCTGTCGACGGCCATTTTCGTTTACGCGGTCACGTCGCCGGTCAATGGCTACTTCGGCGGCTCCCTCTACGCCCGCATGGGCGGTAAACTGTGGATCCGCCAGATGGTGGTGTCGGCGTTTATGGTTCCGGCCCTCGTCTGCGGTACCGCCTTCTTCATCAACTTCATCGCGATGTACTACCACGCGTCGCGCGCCATACCCTTCGAGACCATGGTAAGGTCACCTCTTTTTAAAACATTCCGGTCCGAGACTCCCGTTTTTCGGATGTTTTACCAAAGCCACGCCCATTGGAGCGAAGAAAACATCTAGAAACGCCCATTAGGGCGTGGTCCCCGCTCCCTATAGGTTTTCTCCGTTGCTCTGATACATCCCCGTCCCTGTCGTTTGCGTAGATCGCCGTCGTGTGCCTGTGCTTCTTCGTGATCCTGCCGTTGACGCTGGTGGGCACGGTGCTCGGCAGGAACCTCGCAGGACAACCGGACTACCCGTGCAGGATCAACGCGGTACCGCGGCCCATACCCGAGAAGAAGTGGTTCATGGAGCCGGGCGTGATCATCCTGCTGGGCGGCGTCCTGCCGTTCGCGAGCATTTTCATCGAGATGTGAGCACGAGCCACGCCCCCTAGCGCGCGCTTCTCTACCGATAGGTCACGGTTTGCAGGTACTTCATCTTCACGTCGTTCTGGGCGTACAAGATCTACTACGTCTACGGTTTCATGCTGCTCGTGTTCGTCATCCTGATCGTGGTGACCGTGTGCGTCACCATAGTGTGCACATATTTCCTGCTGAACGCGGAGGACTACCGCTGGCAGTGGACGTCGTTCTTGGCCGCCGCGTCCACCTCGGCCTACGTCTACGTCTACGCGATCTACTATTTCTTCTTTAAAACCAAGTAAGTGCGAGAAGAACGATCTAGTCGTTTGAACTACCGTCAGTTTGGTATTACCCGCGTCGCAGGATTCAAATGAACTACAATTGCCCTTATCACTTTCGGCGTAGCCGTAAATTTGTGCCCGTTGGTTTTTGCCGTTTCAACTATCTCGATTTTACTACTAAATCGTTTTTAATTTCGTCGTTTGGTTAAATCGTGTTTATCCGTCCTCAAAGTCTCTAACGCGTTTTTTGATTTTTTCGCAGTCAGTGATCTACTTCGTCTATAACCCTTAAGTTGCGAGAGAGAATTAATTGGATATTACGTTGTCACCGCAGGACCGGCTTAAATGAACTACCTCGTCTCTAACGGTCCTCAAAATGTTTCGGTAGTTTTTGCAATCGCAGTAGTTTTTCATTTTCCTTCTTTGCTTTTGGGTTTTGATAACCGGTACAAGTAAACTACCACGGATGTCGTTTCGCAGGATGTACGGCCTGTTCCAGACCACGTTCTACTTCGGCTACATGGCGCTGTTTAGCGGCACGCTGGGCATCATCTGCGGCACCGTCGGCTACGTCGGCACCAGCGTCTTCGTGCGAAAGATCTACTCGACCGTCAAGATCGACTGAACGCGCAAAACCCCCACTCCCCCCAGTTTTCGGGGGCGGTCTCGCGTCCCCGCCCACCTGTACATACGCCGCAAAAGTTTCGCGGACGCGTCGCCGCCCCCTGCCACAGTATAGTCCCGCCCCCGACGTGTTTAAGTGTTAGCGTGTAAATTTAGTAATAATAAAACCACACAGATGGCGTGCGCGTCGTTTTATTTCCCCTCGAACCTCTTCCGCCCCCGCACAGAAGCGATTGCAGGATCGGGACGAAAGAACTACTACGTTTTTAACGATTAAAAAAAAACACAAAGATGGCGCGCGGATCGTTTTATTTCGCTCGCCAGTGGCGTCGGACAAAAAAGGGCGACGATAAAAAGTAAGGTACACAAAGGCGGTCCGCCACTACATGTATATACGGGGCGGGTGTAAAAAGTTCTTAGCTGGCGTCGGCGTCGTCTGCGGCGGACGGCGCCGCTTCGGGGTGCAGCTTGGTCATGTGGTGCGCGTACTGGATGCTCCGGATGAAACCCTTGAGGCAGATGGTGCACTTGTACGGCTTCTCGATCGAGTGGATCAGCAGGTGACGGTTGAGCACGTCGCTCCTGCCGAATTTGCGGTTGCATATCTCGCACTGGTACGGTTTGACGTGGAGGTGCGACAACAGGTGCTTGCTGAGGTTGTGGGACTGCTGGAACCGCTTGTGGCAGATGTTGCACTCGCACGGTTTCTCGCCGGTGTGGACCCGCGTGTGCCGCTCCATGTCCGACAGCTTGCTGAACTCCTTGGAGCATATGTCGCAACGGAACCGCTTAACCGGCGTCGACAGCTTCCTCAGCACGTGGATCGGCTGGTGCTTTTCCAGCTCCTCCTTCGTGTTGAAGCCCTGGTCGCACTTGCGACACGGATACGGGTGTTTTCCTGCGGAATATACGCGTTGAGAGCGACGGTCTCATGGTATAAGGACATATGAACTACTCGTTTAGCAAGTTTAAATGTTCGGGACGAATGAACTGCAGAATTTTCGGCGGTCCTTGCAACCATCTGCTATCCAAATTTTGGATTGTCTGCCGTTGCGAGATTGGTACAGATGAACTACTTCTAGTTTTGCCAAGTTTAAACGTTGCATCGTCCGATATTGGCCGTTTACAACTTCGGGACAAATGAACTACCGGTTATTTGCGACGGGGCTCATCTGATGGCGCGGAAACACTAGCCAATGCTTACCCCGATGCATGCGGATGTGCGCGGTGAGGGTGTCGACGTCGGCGAACTTCTCCTCGCAGTGCTTGCACTCGTAGGGCTGCGGCTTCTCCGAGTGGATCTCGCGGTGCTTGCACAGCTTATAGTATGAAGGAAAGATCTGTAGGCAGATCTTGCACTTGTAGATTGTCGCCTTCTTCTGCCTCTTCAGGGAATGCTTCAGCTTGTATTCCGCGTAGTCCTCGGGCACCCATTCTGATCTGCTCTCTGTGTCCGAGTCTTCGTCCACTGAAATCATTTTGCCTGTTAATGCGAAAATTGTCATTAATATAAAAATTTGTCTTTTGCGTACCGTCGCCGTTCGCGTCCTGGGCGAGAAACAAGTCCGACGATTTCTGGTTCACCGACACGTGCCCCGACTGGGCTTCGTGTTTTTTGAGGCACTGAACGGAAGGGAAGTCCCCCTGGCACATTTCGCATCTGAACAACACCCGCCGCACTTTTTTCAACGAATGAATCTGCTTGTATTCCGCGTAATCGTCGGGCAACCATTCCATGCGGGGGTCCTCCACGTCGGACTCGTCATCGTCGGGGTCCAGGCCATCGTTATCCGCGCCCTCTTCGTCCTCGACATCATGCGATTGTTCCCGTTTGATCCTCGCGCCCATCAGGTCCGTAATTTTGACCTGCTTGAGCGGCCGCCCCCGTTTCTTCTTCCCGTCCTTCGAGAACAGGCTCTCGAGTTGGCTCTCGACCGCGTCCATGGTCTGCGCGTGGCGGTCCGTCTCGTCCAGTAACTCCTCGAGACTCTCGCCGTCGACTTCTCCTTCCGACAACCTTTTTCTTTTCCGGGACGCTTTCTTCGCGCTTTCCTGTTTTATAACCTTCCTAGGCCTGCCCCTGGGCCTCGGCCTCTCGGCGTCGTCGTCTCCCGTCCCGGGTGATTTGGACTTGCCGGATTTCCCGCCGGCATTTCTGCTCGATCTGCGCACGGCCTCCATCGTTTCGCACGCTCGAAACGCAAACCCGGAGGCCTATTTACGAAACATGCACTTTGTTTACGATCCGCGAATCCCGTCAGAAAACCAACGGCGATCGTCGGCCTACGCCATGTCGGCCGCGACGACGGCACTAATGTTCACGTGGTACGTCGATCGGACGGCGGACACTTGTTGCACGCGAATTTGCGAAATCAATCCCTCGAGCGAGCGCCCGGATCGTTGGCCATTTTTTTCGATTATTTGGCGTATGCCTTGGGCCACGCGCGGTACGTCGGCGCGACGCCAGGTGACGCCGCGTTGACAAGAATGGCGCGCCACGTTAATACTCGTGACATCATCGCGTGCCCCTGTGTTGAGCCGAATGTCGGAAAACTATTATTCATTTTTCAACGGGCCAACGGCCCAATATAAAATAAGATTCACATAAACAAAACAGTAAAAAGCAAAACAAAATAAAACAGAATGAAATAGCGCAACTTTGGGGAGCCTATCGACAGCCATGGTGACTTGAACGCCGATAGGTCTTATCGGTTGAAAACGATATGTCAAATTGCCGGGCATGCGCAGATTAAATGGTCCACGTCCATATTTTTTTTCTTCGTCGCTTCAAAAACTCCTTTATATAACAGCTATATTTATTTATTTATCAACGGGCCAACCGCTCAATATAAAATAAGATTCACATGAACAAAATAGTAAAAAAAATAATAAAACAAAATGAAATAGATAATGACCCAACCCTAGTACATTAATATTAATATAGGAGTCGATACGACACTAAGAACACATATAATCGCATCAACACATTATTGTACAATACTATTCAGAAGCGAGACAACAACGGAAATACTTTCACTGACTGTCTTTTAGTTCTTTCTTAATAATTTTTCCACTCTGGAAGCAGTCAAGTTGGTCCGAAAAGCGGCTGATTTAGTAAGAAAAGAACTCTGCCCATAGTTCAATCAACTTCAATTATACGTTTCACAATTTCAGTTGTGCAAGACTGCTAGGATCATTTGCCTATTGCCGACTTCCGTCGAGAGGATTTTCACTTTCGGCTTCCCCCGCTAACCCCGCGGCACAAACGGGTTCATCTGACCTCTATACCGGCGTGAACGGGAAAAAACAACGGGCCCGACGACGATTATAACTTTAAAACATGCACTGAATACTAAAAACACTAAATCTACACAGTGGAGACCGATTTCAAATTTTTGGGGTCCAATGCAAGGGATTCTGTCGGAAGCAAACGGAGGGTTAAACCGAAAGAATCCCCCATAGTTAGTACGATGGAACTCAACCTGGAAGGAGTGGCTTATTCTGGTCTTGCGAGGGGGAACCAATCTTACATAACAGCTCAAGACCATGAGAATTTGACTGCAGTAGATTATAAAAAATGGTGAGATCCCTTATTAGATACTATGGTGACACTACTACGATAAAAATGTATACGCCTCAGGTGGGTATGATAGTATGATATTTTCGTAGACAGGAACGACCTTCCGCGCGTTTCACCTACTGGCCAGTGCAGTTTTCTTTCTAAATTGGGAAACACACACACGCTTATATTCTTTGGGATCTGGACATATTTTTGGTAAATACTCCAGTAAAATTGCCACGTCCTAACCTATTGCCGATCTATCAGCGGCCGTGTTGGTTAGTCAATACGGTTAAAACGAAAATTTCCTCGATTATTTGGCGTATGCCTTCGGTCACACGTCAGCGCCGCGTTGACGAGAATTGCGGATCGCGTTCATGACGTCATCGCCTGCTCCTTTAACGCAAATAAAACTCGCCATATATATCAACCCAAGATTTTAATTAAAATAGATAAATAATTCGTCCTTACTACTTCTTCTTCTTCTTTTCGTTTTCGGGTACTACTTCGCCGGTCATGTCGTCGGTGCGCGACTTATCGACCGGATACAACCACCTTTGGTAAAGGTACACCAAAAAAACGACATCGTCCCTGAAACAGGCCAACCTGTGAGCCGTGGGCATGGTTATAATGAACGCGAATATGTCGTCGATGAACGTGTTGAAGGCGCGGTACGTGAACGCTCGCCACGGCAACGCAGCGACCGACTTTAGTCTATAGTTGATGAACAACTGGGGCAGCATGAAGAGAAACCCGAAAGCGTACACCCCGTTCACCAGACTGTTAATCGTCCAGGAGTACCAACTGAAAAACTAATCGTTGCAACGCTTCCGCCGCTTCCTCCCCGAACGTTTACCTTTTGTGAGGTTGATACATTAGGGAGTAGATGGCGGCGCCCATGCAGAGAGGGTAGAGGAGATAGCTGAGGTATTTCATGCACTCCTCGTCGTATTTACGCGTCTCGGCCTCCTCCGCCGACTCGTGAACGTCTTGCTTGAAACTCAGGCCCGCCCACGAGAGCGACATTTTCGTTTTGCACACTTTATTGACTTTCCAAAACTTAAAAACATTTATCGTATAACCTAGACCGACCCTATCCAGTTATCTGTGGTAAGAAGAAGACGGCGCGCGCATAACCCAACCTTTTGCGATACTTACTTCTATAAGGGTGCCGATTCCGCTCGGTATCAGCACGAGGAGCGACGTGCCCTCGTCCAGGAGGTAAAGAAAGACCATGAATTGGGAAAATGCGCGCCACAGCACGGTGCGGGTGGATAGACCCGCCATGGAGGTTTGCGACCGCCAAAAGCTGACGTCGTTTTTGAAGGACAAGAAATCGAGGAGGAGCTGGAACGAACAGCCGTTCAAGCGCCGAAACTTTTAGGGTTTGCGCGTGTTACGTGAATGCTGCCGATGGCCATGGTCGCGCACAGCAAGTACAAATTCGTATCCGCAAACACGCCCTTGACCTCGTCCAAGTCTTTCTCGGTGAAGCCGAGCTGCAGAAACTGCTTCAGGGACACCTCCATTTGGGCGAAAAAGCGCATCTTCCCCAACGTCGCGGGGTTGTACACGAACGCAAAAGTCATGGTCCTGGTGTCGGGTTTTATTTCCTTCAAATCCCTGAGTCGCATGTTTAAAAAATCCTGAACCGCTATGGGTAGTAAAATTTTATTGGAAGTCACCCGCATGTGTTGCATTATCTCAATGGGAATGTCTTGTCTCGGAATGTGCAATTCTTCGGTGCACATGAGCACCGCGTATCTGCTGCGCAGGTGAGCGACCGGCTTGAATTTGTGCTCGGTTTGGGTCTGCTTGAGCAGATTGAAAGTCTCACTCTGGGGCACCGCATATTTCGTGAGCTTGCCCTTTACGTAGGCGGCCTCGTCGGAACGCGGCAGCCGTTTCGGCGAGTGCACCGTCTCGGCTTTACTAGGAACAAATAGGGTATGTATAAACAGAGTCCCGTTGTTCCTAGCGGACGGAGGCACGTCGATCGTGATTTCCCTGAAAGAAAACGCCGGTAAATGCGCCAAATTCCACTCGGCCCGCTCACTTCTCGTAGGGCTCCCGGTAATCGAAGCCGCCCACGTGCAAAATCAATTCGAAATCACCCGATTTCGAGTTATCGGAGAGGTAGACGAGCAGATCGAGTTGCGGGTTCCCATTTAAATAAGAATGGTAACAGACATCACCCGCCTTACATCGCGGGGAATCGAAAACGCTGTACAGGCTGTAAATCGAACGCGCCACGAACAAGAAAAACAGGACCGTGAGCACCAAACTTAGAGAAAATTTGGGCATCTTTCGGTTTTAACCTTAACCTTTACGTTTACACGTCGATCGGTCGGTAGTTCAAATGTCACCGAGGCGGTTCCCAATCGACCACGAGCTTTTCAACGGTATGTTGATGGATACTTATCTCCCGACGCGATATCATTAATCGGTTATCGCTGACTTTGGGAGGCCCGTCAAAACCAAAATTAAGCGAATATATAGAAGACAATAAATTTTAAACGAAAGCACAGTTCGCAAAAATTTGGAAACCACACGTTGCTGTCAAAATTTACGTCTGTGTAACTTGGGTTCTGCTTTTTATGAATCGCAATCGTGGATGGAACTGGGATATTATCAGTCATAATACTCATAATACACACTCTATATTAATTGTAGACCTTATTAGCGTTACGTCGTAAAGGCGTACCTTTTGACAAGACGCGACGGTCAAAACCCGACGTCATTTATCTATGACCAATCAGTGCGACGGGTCGAAAGCGTCGACTATTGGGTAGGGTTAACCTCATCCTTATTTATACGAAAATTGCTCATCTTATATAGACAAAACCAGTTACTTTTCGTTACTCATCGCAGAGGTGCCGCGCGGGTGAGTCATCGTAAGTGGACGCGAGATAAAATTCCGCCATTTGTGCGAAAATGAGCGTTTCGGGTTACGCGGAGGTCGTCGACGGCCCGTTGGCCGAATTCCTCCAGATATCGAGGCAAATCGGCGGCGACGTGGCCGAACAAGCCCGGCTGGTCGAGGACGCATTCAAAGCTCAGCAGCGTTTCATCCAGTTAGCCGGCGAATCGGCCCAACCCACCGAAAGTGACGTTGCGGGCCTGCTGAAGCCAACCAGCGAAAAGATCGCCGCCATACAAACATACAGGGAGAAGAGGCGGTCGGCGCCGCATTTCAATCACCTTTCGGCCGTTAGTGAGAGCATCGCGGCGCTGGGGTGGGTCGCCGTCAGCCCCGCCCCCGCGCCCTACATCAAAGAGATGAACGACGCCGGTCAGTTTTACACGAACCGGGTGCTGAAAGACTGGAAGGAAAAGGACAAGAGGCACGTCGAATGGGTCAAGGCTTGGGTGCAGACGATCACGGACCTGCAGTCATTCGTTAAGAGGCACCACACGACGGGACTGGTGTGGGCGGGAAAAGGGGCGCCGAAAGTACCCCCGCCGCCTCCGGCGTGTCCGCCGCCGCCGCCCGTCGACCTCGAGGCCTCGGGGGACGCTGGCCAAGACAGGTCCGCGTTGTTTGCCGAGATTAATAAGGGCTCCGACATAACCAAAGGTTTGAAAAAGGTGACGTCCGAGATGCAGACGCACAAAAATACGGCTTTGCGTCAGGGCCCCGCCCCTTTCAAGCCGGTGGCGAGAAGCGTGCCCTTCAATCGGCCCGCGGAAGCCGCGTCCGAAGTCAGGCCCCCGTCTTTCATCAGGGACGGTAAAAAGTGGCTCATAGAGTACCAGAAAGACAGAAGGGACTTGGTGGTCGATAACGCCGAGATGAATAACGTCGTCTACCTCTACAGGTGTCAAAACACGACTGTTCAGGTCAAAGGCAAGATCAACTCGATCACGATGGATTCGTGCAAGAAAACTTCGGTCGTGTTCGACAGTCTCGTGTCCTCGATGGAGTTTATCAATTGCCAGTCGGTCGAGATGCAGGTGTTGGGCAAAGTACCGACCATTTCCATTGATAAAACGGACGGGTGTCAGGTATACCTGAGCGACGACTCTTTGGACGTGGTGATAGTAAGTTCCAAGTCTTCGGAGATGAACGTTTTAGTGCCGAAAAAGGACGGAGATTATACGGAGCACGCGGTGCCGGAACAGTTCAGGACCACCATCACTGCCGGCAAGACGCTGCAGACGGAAATCGTCGAGAACAAGGGTTAGACGAGGCGGGGGGTGGGCCATTTTCCCACTATTCCATTAAATAATTTAGCCAATATAACCGCGCGAGGTCCTCTGTAAATTCGCAATATTATCATAGGGAAGGTATTGTCATAGTATTAGTCACGTGCATTTACATAAATATTACGTAATCGTTCTCATTGGGTTGTGGAACCGCATGGTCATGTATTCATCCTAGACGTCGTCCCGGCTTTGATGTACTTTAACGTCGGTTATGTAGGTCGTAAGTCTCCGATTTTGCATTTTTAATAAGGTTTTGTATCCGTAACGCTATACTCTGTCATCGCTTTTAAATAAAACACCCCCGCGTGATCCAGTTTTTTAATTTCCAACACCGATAATATCCGATGCCCGTCGCAGGTGCAACAGCCAATGACGTCAAGGTATTCCGACACTTACCTGTTATAGAACGTGTTTGGTCTGCGACAATGTCAGCAGCGCCTGGCCGCCTTAGACCGTTTGAAACATGGATAAAAGAGTGGTAAAAATTGATGCGCCGCGGGGATTATATTTTTTACACTGCGTAAATTTGGAGAGGTCTTATTGGCTGAAAACGGCATGTCAAATGGTCGCGCATGCGCACATTAAAGGTCCACATTTTTTTTTCTTTCGTAGCTTCAAAAACTGTTTTATATAACGGCTATATGGTTTAAAATAAAAAGCCACGGTTTTAAAACTTTATTTAAATTATATTAGTGATTAAACAGACTCTTCTAACTCGACAGCATTTATAAATCGGACCTAACCCCGAAGCCGGCTGGCGTTGGTTCGCCCACGAGAGATGTTGGCTCGCCGAGGGGCTCCGCCGCGAATCTGCCGCTTCTAAAACAAAGACCGGATTGAATTCAAAGGCAACGCCGAAAAAATCGACTCACCTGGGTCCCGGTTTGGGCTTCCTGCCGGCCTTAAGGTCTTCCAGAATTTCTTCCGTGTCTTTTTCCGTCAAATCCTCCTGAAATAAAACCGTCGCACCCACATACTAGCTAAACTCAGTACGTCTTACGTAATAGTCATCATTCACTTGCACCATGGGGGCGTTAACGCACGCGCCGAGGCACTCCACTTCCGACAACGTGAACTTCATATCCAGCGTCGACTGGCCTACTTCGATGCCGAGCTTTCTTTTAATGACGTTTAAGATTTCGTCGGAGCCCCGTAACCAGCACGGGGTCGTGGTGCAAACCTGCAAATGGTACTTGCCCGTCGGTTTCCTCATGAACATCGTATAAAACGTCGCGACCTCGTAGACGCGCATCTTGGGCAAATTAAGAATCTCCGCCACCCGATGCATGGCCGATATCGGAAGCCAGCCGTGCTGCCTCTGAGCTAAATCCAACAGCGGTATCATCGCTGCTCGTTTGTGACCCTCCGGGTATATCTCCAGGATCGCTTTGGCTCTCTAAAACCAGCAACTCGTCGAGCTTCGCCCCGATCTAAAAACCGTACGTACTTTTTCATTTTCGGGGGTGAATTCGAACGGGATGTCCGGATTGTCCTCGGGCGAGTCTCGGTGCACGAAGAGCGTGTCGTGTTGGAGCGCGGCGGATGTCTGCAGGCCCCGGGCGGCCAAAGAATTCCTCTGCCAACATATTTTGAGGTTATCGTTATGTAATTTGTTACCAGCCGCTTTCGCTGGTTGCTAATTTACCAAGCAGGCGCCTACGTTCCTAAGCGTCGCCAACATGCTCGAAAAACCGATACGGGTTTAGAAACTCGCTAAAATGGGGGGATTATATGTTTGTTTTTCAATGATTAAAGCGCGATTCACACCGCATCTACGGTCTGTGACGTGGGAGTGCTAAGTATGGGTTCACACTGACTAGCCGCGCTCCGCGCACCCTTTCCATAAACGGCGTCATTTATTCGTCAAAACTGCATAAATTCTGCTAATAATGCCATAGTTTTTTCTATATATTAAATTTTTCCATTTAATCCAATCTGGTTCTTCTTTACAAATTTGAACCTAACCTTTCATTTGTTCCCAAACCGTGAAATGAATAAATCGTAATATTTCGTGATGTTAGCTTTAATGAACTCGCCGGCGAAGTTGCCGAAAAGCGTCCTGAAGCGATTGATAAGAAAAAGCATTAACCGCGCCACGCGTGGTTACGGCACCGACGGTACGGGTCCCGGCGACTCGCCTTTAAAAAGGCTGCTAGACGAGTCGGCGTCGTTCAACGACGTAAAGACCCGACACCCCGAGCAGCAGTGGGCCACGCTGCCTTACCGGGACGGAACTTGCGTCCGTAGACAGGGAGCGTTCTTCTATGGCGACAAAAAAGACCCGCGGGACGTTTCTATCATCTTGTTCCCCGGACAGGGGAGTCAATACGTCGGGATGGCCAAGGATCTCCTAAAGTTTCCCTTGGCGAAAGATTTGTTTGAGTTGGCCAGTTACATTTTGAAGTATGATCTGTTGAAACTTTGCCTGGAAGGTCCGAAGGATAAATTGGACGAGACCCGGTACTGTCAGCCGGCGGTGATGGTGTGCTCGCTCGCCGCCATCGAGCGGTTAAAAGAGGAACGACCGAACGCGATCGTAAACTGCGTGGGGACCGCGGGCTTCAGTTTGGGCGAGATTACAGCGTTGGTGTTCGCCGGAGCACTGGGATTTGAAAGGGGTAGCGATCCTAGATTTCGCGCCTCAGACTTCGCTTGAACGAGTGTGTTTCAGCGCTGCACCTCGTCAGAGTCCGAGGGGAAGCAATGCAGCTCGCTTGCGAGGCTAATAAAGGGGGTATGCTGACCGTTTGGTATGGGCCGGACAGCAAACTGGGCGCCGCTTGTGTTAAAGCTAAGGAGTGGGCTTCAGATAAGGGCGACGAGGTACCCGAATGTCGCATCGCAAACTATTTGTTTCCCCATTGCAAGGTGGTGTCGGGCAGTGAGTCAGCCATCGAATTCCTTGCGATGAATTACAAACAGTTCAAGCTCAGGCGGGTAAAGAGGTTACCGGTCAGCGGGGCGTTCCATTCCGACCTCATGGCGCCCGCGGTCGAACCTTTTAGGAAAGCGCTGAACAAATCGGACATTCAGGACCCGATCATAAGCGTTTATTCAAATGTGGACGGCAAGCGGTACCACAACGCAGAACATATACGGAAACAGTTGCCCAGACAGGTACGAATGTAACCCCAAAACCGTAGGAGTTGCTTGATGGCTATGGTCATTATAGATCGTGAAACCGGTCAAGTGGGAGCAGCTGCTGCACGTGGTGTATGAGCGGGGCCAGGACGAATATTTCCCGCGGACGTTCGAGTGCGGCCCCGGCACTTCGCTCAGGGCCACTTTGAAAGAAGTCAATGTGAAGGCGTGGCAGGAAAGTTTCGGTATTGAGGCGTAGGCGTTTTCGTAATATAAGTTTCGATATATTCGGTTTTTTCTTCGCGGACAACACTGAAAATGGCAGACATTTCTTCCCCATTTCCTTTCACTTTCACTAAATCCACCAGTTGCAGTCCAATAAGCGCGTCTCAAGCCCGTCTTATGAATTAAAGAAACCGCCCCGATCGTACAAAATGCCGGAGGCGCCGGGCCATGTTATACAATACCTCGAAGACCCTTGTCGGTGGACGACACTGCTTTCACCATTAAGTCACGACGACATAGGTCCCAGCGCGCCGCGTCGATATCGTTTTTTTTTGGGAGCAGATATTTTTTATAAGTGGAGCTGATGCATTTAAGTGAGTTGAGTGGAAAACGAACCTCAACTTGTTCACCTTGCCGTGACGTACGCAGCATATAAACGTTATTAGTAATTCACCTTGTCAAAAGTTCAAGTATGCGTTTCACAAAAAATGTTGGGCACGACTGCTAGGATCATTCGCCAATTACCGACTTCCGTCGAGGATCTTCGCTTTTGGTCATGGACCAACACGTACAAAGAAGACATATAACCAATATTTGCTCAACTAGCAAAAAAACAAATTTGACCGATACCAAAAAAAAACCGACACCCCCCGCTTCCGCCAGGGACCATCCGGGCCCATCCGACCTCTATACCGGCAATTCACCTTGTCCTAGAATACTTCTACTTATCACTCACAAACCGTTGGGTAACATCACCATGATCATACGCCCATGATGGAATTGTATTTAATAGTGGTGACTCGTCATGCTTCTTATCTTTACGAAGGCAGATTATGTAGGACTAATCAGTCTATTTTCAGCAATGCTATTTCTTCTACTTTTTAGTTTTCGTTAAAATTCCCACAATTATCGTGAGAGGAAGAATCGCGGAACTTATCCCCTTAGTTTTATTTGTCTCGTCGTTGAAAATGCAGAACACTTCGGCAATGACCTCGCGTGACCCGTTTACCGACGCCCCTCAATGATCCGGCCGCCCCCGGAAATGGGAAACAGCTGTTGCCGTGAGCGATCGCGGGATGGCAAAAGGAAAACCGTGACGCTGCTGCTCGTCGGGCTCGACAACGCTGGAAAGACGGTCGCGGCCAAGGGCCTGGCCGGCGAGAAGCCCGACCCGACGATGCCTACGGTCGGTTTTTCGGTGATCCCGCTCAAGTACACGTCCTGCGACGTCAGAGTGTACGATCTGGGTGGCGGCGCCAACATTAGGGGCATATGGCACCGGTATTTCGCCGACGTGCACGGCGTAATTTTCGTGATAGATTCGACCGACGTGGACCGTTTTAAAGAGGCGAGGGACGTGTTGGAAGATATACTGGGCAGCGATAAGATCATGGGCAAGCCTTTATTAATCCTAGCCAATAAACAGGATCGGGACGGGGCTCTGGACGAAATAGACGTCATCGAATATTTGGAAGTCGAGGCTTTGGCTAACACTTACCACTGCCCCACATTGGTGCAAAGCTGCGCGGCCAACGAGTCTTTTTACAACAAAATCGAGCCTGGTATCAAGTCAGGTTACAATTGGTTGATGAGTTACATAATTAGGAACTATGAAAGACTAAACGCGAGAGTGCAAATCGACGTGATTGACCAGACGCTTAAGGAGCGTGAAGCGATGTTGGAAAAAATAAAGAAAATGAGAGAGGAGCGCGAGCGGGAGATCGAAGCTAAAGACCCCGAAGCCATAGTGCCTTATTCTGAGTATATTAATAGTCTAAACGGGATCGCTGCTAAGAAAGTCGATACCGCAGACGAACTTTCCGTGAAATCGTCCTCTAGCAGCTCGCTCACGTTCCCCTCGGTCTGCCATGTTAGCGGTCCGGTGTCCTCGGAGTCGGGCAGGCCAAAGTCCGCCGTACAATTGGTGCGCCACCAGTTGCAGCTGAATAACGGCGGCCCGATCCATTCTTCGAGGATAAACAAAACCGCCCCGATCGTTTTGTACGCCCCGAAACATCCGAGCTCGGCCGGGGAGCGCCGGGGCAAGTTTTCGAAGACTCTGAGGACCCTCAAGTCGGCGGACGACAGTATTTTCACTATAAGTCACAATAAAGTAGGTCCGAGCGGCGATTATCGCGGCGAAAAGTTCGAGCTCGCGCCATCTCGTCGAGTTAAGAGACTGGCCCAGCCGAAAAACGGAGCTGCGGTCAGAAGCAACGGGTTTCCGAGGCACGCTATGGACGCGATTACCGTCGTCGACGTAGATTGACATTCCGCGTGAAGCATTTATTTTTCGTATCGTTCTAGTCATTTTTGTATTTTTGTAAGGGCACCAAAGATTGTTATTTTAATAAACGGAGGTAATTTACGATTTTCGACTTGTTTAAATGTTGTCCCTGAAACGTTCTTAAGAACGACGCTATCTACTGTGGGGTAGATTCATTATACACTACAGAAACATGTCGGTGGAAGTTTCTTTGTTCTTTGTTACCTGTTGGTAACGATTTTATTTCGATTAAAAATGAAATAAATGCTTTCAACTCCTTCAAAAATATTCCATTTAATTTGCACTTTTTATATTAAATAATCTATAAATAATTCTGCACACTTTGTAAATCTGGTACGCTCTGCGTCGCCATCTATCGGGCGGAAGCGCAACCGCGCGATTTCGATTTTACCGGCAGAGTATCCTCGGTCCGTGCTTCACGGACCACAAATCTTCAATGACAGATGGCAGCCGGCGGTCGAGAACCCGCCAAAACTTGCATGTCGCTGCATTGTTTGTGCTAGAAAGTGTGTTTCGGTGATCAAAATTTACGAATTGCGACCGCGATGGCCAACTCGGAGCTCTCCAAGGGCGCGTTCGCGGTAAGGGCCGCACGAAGGCCGCTCCACCCGGCCGAACACCTCTGTACCGCTTCCAGGTCATCATGAACGGGGGCGAATTCGCCAATCCGGTAGTCCAGGTGTTGACGCTCAAAAAGATGAACGCGAATTCGAACCAGCCGGAGAAGGACCGCTACCGTTGCTTCCTCTCCGACGGCCTGTACACGATATCGTTCGCTATGATGGCGGCCGCGGTCCACGACAAAGGAGCCCCGAACGGCCTGAAACGCTTCTCCGTCATCAAAATCACGCGGTACATCACGAGCGTCATCAACAACACGGGCTCCAAAAGCGACAGGTATTCGTTAGCGTTTCAGTTCCGTATTTAAAAAGCCTCGCGTATTTTTACCAATTAAAATGTGAATAATGGATCAGCCGGGTACTGCTGGTGCTCGACATGGAGCTGCTGAGGGACGGGGACGCGGTGGGCGACAAAATCGGCAACCCGGTGCCGTATTCGGAGGCCGCGGTTGCGTCCGTTAAGCGAGGCAACGTTTCGAGCGATGATTCTCCTCAGAGAGATCCGCCGTCGAAGGTGCCTCGTTTAATGAACGGTTCCGGGGCCGGCGCCGTCTCCGATTCCAACGTCAGCCTCGGGGGATCCGGCCAGATTACTCATCCGATCGCCAGTTTGAGCCCCTACCACAACCGGTGGGTGATCAAGGTGAGGGTGTCGAACAAGTCTTCGATACGTACGTGGAGCAACTCGAAAGGCGACGGCAAACTGTTCAACGTCGACCTCGTCGACGAGAGCGGAGAGATCCGACTCACGTTCTTCCGCGACTTGGCGGATAAGTTCTACGATCAGCTCCAGGTCGACAAGGTGTATTACATATCCAAGTGCCAGCTGAAGACTGCGAACAAGCAGTTCAACAGTCTGAAGAACGACTACGAGATGACCGCGGTGCCCGACACGATCGTGGAGGAGTGCGTCGAAGAAGACGTCGACAATATCCCCCATACCCAGTACAATTTCACCCCCATCGCACGCATCTCCCAGATCGAGGTCAACTCCCACGTGGGTATGTGCCCCTTTTTCTTTCAGTTTCGCAAAATAGGACCCTTGTAAAGCAATAAATAAGAACTAAAAGTTCAGATTTTCACGAAATTATACAACTGTTTCGACAACAGCGTGTCTTTATCATTTAACGTTTTTTGTTCTAATTTAGCATGTAAGGTCCATTTTATAATACGAGTTTTACGAAGCACATTTTTCATTCATCAACCCTTTTTCAAGTTGGTCTTTGACATCAATTAATAACATTTGGTTATTGCCATTCCAGAGCGCGAAATATCGGTAAAAATTACATTTTTTCGATATTTTCATAAAATAATGTCGACTTCGAGATTCTCGGTCCTCGAAAACCGTAAAATGAAAAACTTTTCCTTCCTCAAATCTAAAATTTTTTTTCCATATTGGGTACCTTTTTCTGAAGGTACCGTGAATGACGTCACCGCATCCGCTATCAATGAAATGAAATGGAAACCGTAAAACTAAAAATTGTGGCCCGTGACGCGACCTACAAAACCGTTTATAAAAATTGGTCCGGTTTTTATGGTTCTCTATTTCAAAATCTAAAAACTATGATTTCACGGGTTTCGAATGTGAGTGCGGCGTTGCCGAATTGTCCGACTTTTCCCTAAATGCGTCTCGGACGCGTTGCAGACGTGATCGGCGTTGCCAAGTCGGCGTCCGACCTGCAGACGTTCCAGGCGAAGAGCACGGGTCGCGAGCTGCGCAAGAGGGAGGTCACGCTCGTCGACGAGACCAACAGCTCGGTAAGCCCCGCCCACCGAGGTCGCGCCCGCGTGACCCGCCCCCTCCGTTTCAGGTGTCGCTCACGCTGTGGGGCGCCGAGGCGGACACCTTCGACGTCTCCTCCAACCCCGTGGTCGTCATCAAAGGGGCGAAGGTGACCGAATTCGGGGGCGGCAAGAATCTCTCGGTCGGCATCGGTAGTCAGTTAAGGATCAATCCCGATCTGAAGGAATGCTACCGTCTCAAAGGGTGGTTCGAGTCGGAGGGTCGTCTCATGGAGCCGACCAACATCAGCTCGACGACGGGCAACTTTCAGACCCCGTGGATGAGTTTCAAGCAGGTGATCGATCAGCAGCTCGGGCAGAACGACCGGGGCGACTACTACCAAGTGAAGGGCACCGTGCTGCTGCTCAGATCAGAGAATTGCGCGTACAAAGCTTGCCCCCAGTCGGATTGTAACAAGAAAGTCAACGACATGAACAACGGGTACTACAGATGCGAGAAGTGCAACAAGGAGTACCCGGAATTCAAGTGGAGGCTGATGGGCAGCGTGAGTAGGGACTCGTTTATTTGGTGTTTTGTGGGTGAACTGGTTCCCTAGATGAACGTGGGCGACTGGAGCGGCAACCAATGGGTCAGCATGTTCAACGACGAAGCAGAGAAGATAATAGGCAAGAGCGCGCGCGACGTCGGTGAGATTTTAGAGGCGGGGCCGAGCGAGGTGCGCGAGTTAATGAACCAGGCGCACTTTAAAGAGTTTATATTGAAGTGCCGCGCCAAGGTCGAGATGTTTAACGTAAGTACTCGAACGGGGCAAAGTTTTCGGGGCGCCGATATTTGTTTATTTGTTTTCTAGGACGAGGCTCGGCTCAAGACGGTGGTTGTGAAGGCCGATCCCATCAACTACGAGGAGTACAACGCTTACCTTATCAGCAGTATCAAGCAGCTTGCCAATATTAATGATTAAAGTCTTTCCCTGTTATTTCTTTTTCCTTCAGTTTAATATATTTGGCAAACAGTTTCTTACAAGAACAGTCTTTTATTTACACGAAATATATATATATACTTAAGCTATCCCAAGCAAAGGTCCAGGCGTTGCCTAATCTAAAAACGAAACGACTTATTTAAGTGTCGAGATTATTCAAATCAAAGTGATAACTGAAAAATGGCTCCATTTATGGCAACAAAGACACTAGTATCAAAGCAAGCAAGTGGCTGCGCCTTGTCGAAATTAGAACGAGTTCCAATTTGACCGGCCGCGATAAATTGCGTGACGAAAATCGAGCTTCAAGTTTCTACTTGCCTGCCGCCGTCGACGAACTCAAATTGTCTCGCACGTTTTTTTGCGGGCGTAGGCGCCGAGGCACGCCAACACCCCGACGACGGCGGTCGCGAGGATTATAATTAAAGCCACGGCGTCGCCGAAATCGAACATTTTATATAGTTGAAAAGCGAAACAATAAATCTCGACCAGTAACTCAGCACCCAACCTCAAATACGAACGTTAAGGCTTTGGTCGGTTTCGCCTAAGCGTTTAAAAATACAAGGATAAGCTGATCTCACGGGACCGAATTGTAAGTGACGTTATTACTTGGTGGGACAATAAAAAAAGAGAAAGAACGCAACCCGGTTGTTTAATACTTTTTACTCGAAGGCTTTGGTTAGATTACGAAATTTTAACTTAAACCTGGGCTCAATTTATATGAAATGTCCAGGAATATAGTGTTTAACGTCAAATACCAAGGATAAAGCTTAGGTAGGTGTCGCTCAATCGTATCGCTCTGGCGACCGAATCGCGCGTGACATCATCCCCTGCCGGGCCTTTGAAATGAGAGGAAAAAACGCCACCCGCTGGTTTAATACTTTTTACTATTAGTTATGTTAAAAGAATTTTATCCCTATGTTAAGCATATTATTTGGAAATCTTGGAAATTAAAATGGAAAGAAATCGGGCAGAGCAAGGGAAGAATATATAAAGATTTTCCGAATCTCCAAATGAATGACCAAAGTAGTCTACCCGCCACCCGGTTGTTTAATACTTTTTTTTCGAACACTTTCGTGAGATTACGAAATTTTGGCTTCAATCTAGGTTTAAATTTATACGAAATGTCCAGGAATACCAATTATTATTGCGAAAGAACGCCACCCGTTTGTTTAAGAGTACTTTTTACTCGAAGACTTTGGTTAGACTATGAAATGTTGGCTTCAATTTATACGAAATGCCAGGAATATAGTGCCAAACCGCAAACACCAAGGATAACGATTAGGTCTGTTTCGCTCGCGCGACCGGATCGTGCGTGACGTCATTGTCTGCCGGGCAATTTAAAAGAGAGATAAAACGCTACCCGGTTGTTTAATATTTCTTACTGGAATACTTTAGTTAGATTACAAAATTTTGGCTTAAATCAGGTATAAAATTTATACATGCATGATCACAAATACCACAGATAACGCTTAGGTCTGTTTCGCTCTCGCGACCGGATTGTGCGTGACGTCATTGCCTGCCGGGCCTTTTAAAAGAAAAGTTTGAGGTTTTTAACAAACAAGCACCGCTCGATTCTTAGACACTTTTATTGGCGAACTTTGGTTAGGTTACAAAATTCCAGCTACCGCTACGTCGATATAAATCCGAGTATATATAATGTATATAAAAAGGACATGCACGATACACATATTTCATTAAAAAAAAATCAGATCTGGGTCCGTCGCGACAAATCTACTTGAGGTCGTAACAAAAATGGTAGTCTGGCGGGTCGGGCGGTATCGGGGGCGGCTCTTGCGGTATGCTCACCCCTTCCGCGTCGAGCAGCCTCAACTTAATCTCCATGCCGAGCAGCATGTCCAGGTCCTTCTCCGTCTCCTTGCTGGTCATGCGCTGACCGAGCAGCGCGTTGATGCCGTCCGTCCAGTAGGCCAGCGTCAGTTCGTCGGGAGCGACGCAATCCAATGATTGGAGGTCCGTGCCTTCGAGGGCGAGCGAAAAGGCGAGTTGCGTGTGCGACGCCTTCTTGCCGCGCATGTGCGGGCAATCGCGTCCTATCAAGAGGGCGCGCACGTCGCTCACTTGCAACTTGCACGGCAGTTCGTCGGTAGAGGGAGCGGACTTTTCGTCGCAGTCCCCGTAGTGGAGCACCTTGCAGTTGGGCGCGAGGCGCATGAACCAGAACTTGTCCTTGATACGTTGCCCGCGTGCCGAATACTTGGTGAACCGCGTGCCTGCGACGCGAGACCCGGGGTGTTATATCGAAATGACGCGCCGCAATTTAACGAGCGATGCCGAATTTATTTATTTATTTATCACCGCCCAATATAAAATAAGATTAATAAGATTCACATAAACAAAATAAAACGGAATGAAATGGATAGATAAAGGCCCACCCCTAGTATGACAAAAATTGATTTTCCATAATATTAACAATTATACAGTAGTCGACACGACAGTAAGAACACATATTGGGTGACACAAGAAAGTGGGAACACTCTATAAGTTTTAAACGGCTTGAGATAGCGATTTGGAATTTGGAAGGGTTAATATAGGCTGAATGTCCAATTTTTTGACAGTATGTAGTCAATGGTTGCACTTCCGGTTTGAGCGGAAACGAGTTTTTTTTTAAATTTTTATTTAATTTTTGAAAATTGTGCCTGGGTATCATAAATGCTATTTACCGGATCACCTGACCATGGGAAAAATTGTAAATGAAATTTTTCTTTACTTGTCTAATGGCAAATGGCATTTAATGTAATGAACTATTAATTTTTTTTGACAACCGAGTTTTTTCAAATATCACCCAAGTGGGAACAAAAACATATTAAAACCGGTACTTTTTTGCCAACATTTTAATAATAATAATGTTTATTTCCATTGACTTTTAACAAAAGTATCAGATAATGTCAACAAGTCAAGCTCATTTTGGATAAGAACGATTTCTATTCAATCCAAGAATACTTTCATTGTAGTAATGCCGATCTCTCAGTGTGATATACTTTGTGTTTGTACATATCTGTTTTTAAAGTTTGTATTTTAGTATTCTAATGTATTTTTTTGACTTTATCCGACATTTTTGTTAAAATTCAATTCAATCTAGAGTCCACAGTTTCTCGTAACGTTCAAGTGTTAATGGTTGACGTCTCCAGAATGCAGTGCACCTTCAGAGACACAGTCCCTGTCACTATACATGTTCGAAAAAAAAATCTGGACAAAAACTAACCTTCCATCAAGAAATTGAGACGCTGTTGCCGCACCAGGCCCATGATCTCGGGCGTGATCATCTCGCGCAGCTCGACGACGGGCCGGGCGTGGCTCTCCCACTCCTCACGCGTGTTTCTCTCCAGCTGCCACAATTGTGTGATCTCCGAATACGTCAGGGTCTGGAGCTTCGCCCGGAACTGGTCCAGGGTGGCGGGGGACACCTCTAGCGCGCGCGTGATCTGCTCGCGGACGACGCACGCGACCTTGCCGAAATCCTCGGCTGTCGCGCGCATCTCCTTCCACGTTTTGTTCAGCAGCACGACGCAGATGCAGTAGCACTCCTCGAACGGGTGATCGTGCGTGAAGAAGATCGGCTGGTACATGGCGCACTGTTCCGACGGCATCTCGCCTGAAGCGCAGAAAGGCGAAAAGAAGAAGAGGAGAATTGAGCTTATGTACGAACGAGAGCAGTCTTCTTTTCGTTTTCTTTTTCAGCGAGATCGCGATCGAGATAACGGTTCAAGTTTTCGACGTAGGCGCAGTACCGTCAAACATATTTATACCGCTTTTAACCAAATTACTATAATAGGTTTCATACTTAATTTTTGTATTGGCTAGAAATGTTTCTTAATAGATCTACTCTGACGTCACGAGGCATTGTTAGGTAATCCAAACCACGTCTAGGGCAAACAATTGTAGTAGGCCATTTAGAAAATAATTTGTGTGGTGAGTTTTGAAGTGATATTTGCAGAGTGCCATTTTTTGTGTGTAATATTTGTGAAAATCAACATTAAAAAACTGATGATCAAAACCCATTTATTTTAGACATGGATAGTTTAAACAATTCAATCAGTTATAAGTTTTTTCCCATAGCTTTTACACTAAGGAGCTAATGAAAGCTTTTAAGAGTTTGTTTTGAATTTAAAAGGGGCCTTAAGTAGCTGCATCTCCAGACAGATTAGTGTTTTGTGTGCAAATTTATAAAATGTTACCAATGCATCAAAATAAAGTTCTTTTTTTCAGTAAAACAATAGTTTTGTTTTTTACTTCTACTTATCATTAAAACAGATGGGAGTATTCGGTAGTTGTGTGTGCTGTGAAACGGATCGAATGTGAAAAACAGGCATTGTAATTTTAATTTCATTGTATATTTGGCTTTTCTTCAGCTCACACATTTGTTAATTAATAATTAAAGCATACTCGCATTGGGAACATATTCCTTTATGCGTTCAAATATTAACAAATGATCTATGCCATATTCAAAGCCAGTATAATATTGCTATAAGGATGCCTTTGTAAAGAAAGGGTCTGAACTATTCCATCATCCTCTAGGTTTGTTAACATATTTTTACTGACACCGGTCGACAATTTTTCTTTTATTTTTTTTTATCCGATACTATAAAAAACGCGTCTCCTCTCGCTTTCACCACGCACCTCCTGGACCATCCGCCTGATTACCGGCGTATATGGGGAAAACAGCGCAACCGCAGGACACTTATATCATCAAAAAGGCACCAAGTGTTCACTAAGATCCAACACAATAACAATTTGACCGAAAACAGATATTAAAATTTGAAAAGCACGGATCCTATAAGCAATGACAATCAAGCGAAGCCACATAACCTAACTTCTATTTCTTCTTATTTCTATAAACTTCCGGACAACCGCCCACATAACTTGCATAAAATAACGTATATAATAATAACTTTAGCGAATCCCACGTTGGCGATATTTACTCCATCGTGACCTGACAAGACGTTTTCGTCTGACGTCATATTTAAAACGCTCTGGGTGCAGTTTAAGCGGGTAATTTTAATTGAAATAATTTTTTTCCACGGCAAATCATTGACAAACAACCAAATCACAGACCACATAAAATAAGAAAAGGAAAACATTGAGGTTATGTTCCGACTTACCTATTTTCAATATCTCGCAGAGGATCTTGACCAATTCGACGCTGGCCTTGCCGAACGGGCACTCGTGCTCGTCCGCCCGACAACTGTTCTCGAGCACCAGCTTGGTGTAGTTCTCGGAATGGTTCCTCGCGAAATACACCATGCAATCGAGCGCCAACAGGCCGGGCGGCGTCTCCGTGAAGTCCAACGCGGGGTTGATGTCGTTCTTGAAGCCGAGCTTCTTGTAGTCGCGCGTGAAACCGGCCGGGCCGCGGATCTGGCTGGCGCCCTCGCTGTCAAATGCGATCTTCCGCAGCTCTTTGATTTTTTCGTGTCCATCCTGATCCTGCGGGTCCATTTTAGCGAGCATACGCGGCTCGAGGAGGCCCAGCATCAGGGTCTGAAGCACGTATAGCTGGTGCGCCATTTCCGCGCCGCTCGAGCTGCCCGTGTGCAGAATACTGGTCTGGATTATCGACCTAACCGGTTTCGATGTTATGATCTGCACCAGGGTTTTGCGTTTGGCATGGTCCGCTTTGAGTAGCAGCGCGTTTATTAGGGCCACGGCGTTTTGCTGCACAACGGAAGTGCTCTGCAAATGAGGCAGCAGGCTTTGGATAGTCACGTCCTTTTCGACCTGTGAAAAACATCCGTGGTCCGTGACCTCTTCATGTGAGTACTTTCCAGCAATCATTTTTGAATAGGCATTTCATAATTTTAGTTGATTTGACGAAAGATTTATTAAACTTATATTCTCCTTTTTTTAAATTTTATTTTATTAAATTGTTGTTAGCGTGGCACAACTAACTGAATTTACCTGACTGTAGCCTTCCGTGCTGTTCAAGATGACGTTCTCCAGTATCGAGAGGGCAGCTTGGGACACCTGAGCGTCATGCTGCGAATTGACGAGTGTAGCGACACGCGCAATGAATTCCGACGTTAAAATGTCCCAGGACACGATGCCGGGCTCCATGAGTTCGACGAAAGACAGGAGGGTGTGCGCGAGAAACGTGCCTTTGCACTTGCCGCCCTCGATCTGCTTGATAATCAGCGCCAAGCCCTGTTTGTTGATAAACTCCAAGGCGAAGGTCATGTCGGCGCTCAGTTCCGACAGTTTCTCCATGGCCCACGCTTTTTCCTCGACGCTACCCGTGTTCAGTTTGTGGAGGATGTCCTGCGCGGTCTTCGAGGCTGAAAAATTTAACCTCAACACCGATCCATTCTTGATTTCATTCCGGTTCTTTTCGGTGATGTAGTTCGTGTTGTTCGACTCGTTAAACTGGAGGGCGTACTGCTCGGGTTCGGTAAGCGTCCAGCCGTGGCACAGTTCTTGGATGATGCCAGCCAGCGGCTGCTTCTGATTAAACTCGATCAGTTGGGGAACCTGGTCGGTCATCTCCACTGCGATCTTCACGATATACGAGTCTTTGATCGTCGGCATTTTGACGGGCGGATGGACGCTTATGCGCCGTCAGGGGTTCCGAGAGTAACCGCCTTCTTTAAGGCATTATCGTCGATTCAAACCTCGAAAAACATCGTATAAACACTCGCCACAGCAAACGTTAAACGTCATACAGAGTCGTCTGTCAAATTTTAATCGGTCGATAACAGACCACAAAACCGACGTTAGCAACGTCTTTGCAGTCTGCAGCTACCTGACGTCAGCGCCTGCTTGGATGCGACGACGTTTAGGGGTTAGACGCAATAAAACACGTGGTTTTCTTATAAATACGTAATTGTAACATATAACATACATACCATTCATTATTGTCAAAAGTATAGGAAGAAACATTGTACAAAAAGTAACTTATATTTAACAAACAGTAAGGGATTATTAATTCTAAGAGAACAAAAGGCCTTTAAACTCGAGGCACCCTGTAAACACCTAAAAAATACTCCAGAAATGACATTTACATAAACTAACGATTTTTTTTTTGGTCGTATCGAACGGTAAAAACACTAAAAACTATCCTACCCGGTAAAATTTCAAGTATATATTTAATATTTATATAAAAAGATATATATAAAGGAGACTCAAGTATATAGTGGAAGGACAATTGTAAAGATATCGTAAACCTAACTGTATATGTATATATGTATAAATATATATGATTTCCCTACGAATAATATACAAGATTTCTGAAACAAAACCTCGATCCCGTCATTTTGATTTCCGCGCCAACAAGTGACGTTTTGGCCCGCTGTGATTGCTTTTGGTTGTCGATTGGTCGCCGGTCGGTCAGCTGTGCTATAGGATGTGCAAGTTCTCGCAGTTCTTGAACTTCGAGTCCTCCTTGCCGAACAGCCACGTAAACATCTGCCGCGCCTTCATGCTCGCCTTGACCACGCCCCTGCTCTTGTACCACTGTTGCTGGCGGCCGTCGTCGTCGTAGTTTAATACCTTGAGCCGGATCTGCGTCAGTATACCGACGAGCAGCTCGTCGACGTTGTGGTTGATCCCGACCGATATTTCGACGAACTTCGCCCTGAACGTGCATGCCAAACACTTGCCGTCTGAAAAACGGCCGCGTCTGAGAAAAGAAGAAGACCACGAACCACAACGGCTTACCTTGGGTCGACACGGTCCTGCTCCGCGCCAAATCTATTTTGTTGGCAGCCAAAATGATGGGTCGCGAGCGAAGCAGGTCGAAGTCTTGAAGCCGGTTCAGTTCCGCTTCCGCCTTGAGGAAACTCGCTTTGTCGACCACGGAATAGAGTACGACGAATGCGTCCGGCGGGTTGCTACGGTCGACCTCCTGCGGCGACGAGACGAAACATTTGCGACCCAAAACCCTCGATTTTTTCGACGAAACGCGCGAGAAAAAAAAAGACTCGGAAAAATCTATTTTCGCGTGTAACCGGGTCGTTAAAAAAGCACCGGGCCGCGTAAATATGTCCCACTTTCGCGAATTGCCAAATGTTTTTTTTCGAAGCGTTTTATACGTTTGTTTACAACGCGGTGTTTGCGCGAGCCGCTTAGTGTTTACGTTCGGACGGGGACGTGCGCATCACGGAAACAAGACGCACCGACGCGTGACGTAATACGTCCCGTTTGTACCAAATTGATATTAGTTCTGGGAGACTTCAATAGCAGAGTTCAGAAGATAGACAAGAAACTTAGTACTGTAATTGGACCACGTGGTGAAAATGGCGCGAATAGAGATACACAAATTTACTAGAAAAGTGAAAATCAGAAATGAGAAATCTCCAGTGGATTATGTCCTGAGAAAAATCATAAGTACAGAATACGATAAATACTTACAAATTAGGAAACAGAGAAATCGCAGGAAGATATAAAATAGTATTAAATGAAAAATTTGATAACAAAAAAGAGGAAATATACTACCACTACTAATACACTGCCAAAGAAATCTGTGGAAGAGAGACTAACAATAGAAAACAAACAGCCTGGTGGTCAGAAGAGATTATAGAATAAATAAAAAAGTTATACGGAAAACATATAGCCGAACACAAGAAAATTACGATTGTTATAAGATAGAGAGAAAAAGAGTTATGGACTTGGTGTTGCTGAGATTTTGTAAAACTTGGAGTGAGGCAAGGATTATGGCAAGAATTATAAAAAAAATGGACCAAAATTTGTTTATTAAACCAGGCATTCTTAAGATGATGTTTAAAGTAGAAATGTAGGAAGTTAATGACAGTATCCCAACACCATTATGTAGAAAAAATAAATAAGAACTATGACATTACAATTGTTTCGACAACACCGTGTCTTTATCAAATCACATTTGATAAAGACACGGTGTTGTCGAAACAATTGTCATGTCATAATATATAATTTCTGTTGTTTGCAAAGACCAGCACAGAACAACGAAGATTGAGACAGACTATAAATGGGTGAGTTTTGCCATTCTTAGTATACGAGTGCCAGCAGGTAAAATACTGTAGCACCTTCTCCCTTAGTTTTATGACCGACTATGCCATAGCAAATCGTACCGACTATATATATATAATTAATTTTCGATTAAGAACTATCATGGAAGCAATGGCATTTTGTTTCCGATCTCACAAGCAAACCACGGACCACAGACGCGAACATCTCGTCAGATAAAGATCGGGTTTTCCCTCGGCAAAGCGATCATCCGTCCGAAATAAAACGGACCGTTTGATTTACGTCCGGTAAAACGCGTTTTTTTTTTATATTTCGGCGGTAAACAACGCCGGTCTGGTTCGTATCGCGCGTGGCCTTGATACGTCCCGCTTGTGTCGCGAGATACATACCGGAACACGTACAGGGTGGCCACTTTATTAGAGGCCTGTACCTTGTCTCAGAAACCACTGATTTTAGAAAAAAAAAGTTTATGCAAAAGTTTTATGGTTTACATTAAATTTTAAAATTGATAGTTTTTTATATATACAGGTTGTCCTCTAAGTGCTGAACCGGCGTTAGTTTTAAAATTTTCAACGGAACACCTTGTATATTTTGATATAATAGAATGTTTGACAAAAATAAAGGTAACTTTAGAAAAAACTACTTATTCGATTTTTGTGTTGTTTAGACAGACATTGAGATTATATATTTTTTATGCAAAATTATGTTCTTAGTAATTATGGTCTTCCACTTCTGGCAGTAATACTTTTAAACACATTTTTAGAAGACTTTGTTCTAACGATCTGCATAAATTTTTCGAAATACCTTCTTCTCTGGAATCTGCCTTACGGGAAACTTTCTTTGATACTCTTTGAGAAGCATATCTGTTTTTTCTTGCCCCGTATACATTTTTAACTTGAGTAGTAATAATATTGCTTGATTAAAATCATATCTGCCAAACTCTGACTAAAAATTATAACTTCACTTAAAGCAAATATAAACACTTATTTGGTCTGTCAAGTCTGTTCATAGATATAAGAAAGTGACTAACTGATACGAATTAAGGAAAGACCCGGGCAAGCTGTCAGAATGAAATATGGCCGAACAGGTCCGTACTTTGTTTAGAATTTAATTATTTGTGGTTTTGTTAGGAAAGATACAAAACAATATTTATTTATTTATGTATGTATTTATGTTTAAATCTAAAATAAAATTACAATTTTTTTTATTACCTACTTAAATTACTTAAAATTATTCACATAATATATCAGTATCACTATCGCTATCATCGCCTGTTCTAATTATTACTTGTTCTATATTATTTGCAACATGGATATACGATTATTCTGCTTTTTCTATTTGTTTAACAGAATTTGCCCAACTTTGTGGAGGGATGTTGAAATTTTCGGTTTCTATAAGTTAAGTAAGAAATAACACGAGGAAAAACATTGTTAAGATGAATGGCAGATTTCAGTTGGTGCCAAACATGTTCAATGGGATTAAATATACAGCCTTAAAACTGTATGCCCTAGATTTTTTGCATAATTATCACAGAATTCCTTTTGTAGGTTCAAGCTTTGTAGAACCTCAATTAATTGCTTCTTCGTGAAAATAAATGTCGTTATTATTCATGCAGTTTTGGATTGTTGCTTTTGTGTCACAAGAGAAAGGGGTTTTAGTCAACGGTCTACTGTGATAACTTGCATTGTCCATTAGAATGACGCTATTAGGAGGAATGTTTGGAACTAGTTTGTTTTTAAACCAACTTTCAAATAAATCAGCGGCGGTGTCGTCTTTATGGTAATCTAGAGAAGTATCTTTAATATTTTTCGCAGACAGAGAAAGTCCATTTGGAATCCAACCATCGTTAGAGCCAGCGTGCAAAATAGTTATTCTTTTACCTCTTTTTGATGGCGCGTTTGTTTTACACTTATCAGTTGAGTCAACCCAACCATGTTCCGGGGTATCATAAGTGTTGAACCAGGTTTCATCCAAGTAAATAATTGGCCTTTGTTGTTCTCTGTAAATCCTATTTTTTTGAGATATTCCAGTGGCCATTTCTGAATTCTAAAAAATTCCATTAAAACTTGTTTTTTCTCAATTTTTTAAATCTAAAACCCATGTGTTGAATACACTTCCATAAGGTAGTTCTGCCACATTTAACACCATACAGTCGTCAATGTGACCGTTTCTTCTAAAGATGCTTGCTTGCTGGCACCACGTTTAATGAGAGTCAAATAAACATCGTTTATAACTTCCCTAGTCTCAATAGAATAGTGTTTTCTACATTTGGGCGGAAGCATCTCCTGAGATATACTAGACTCGCATAAGATAAGAATGCTTACTAATAAACCTAAACTAAGTAGTATGCCAAACCAAAGAATATTAAACACAGGTAGGTATAAAATTATTTTCTATTACGGACCACAATTTTACCTGAATTTAAATTCAGGTAGGTAATAATCTTGTTGCATTGTATGTTAATGACCACCCTTGGATAATCCCATTCAAAAGCAATTGGTCACTTTCTTATATCTATGAACAGACCATACCACAGCCTGCTAGGGTAGAAAGTAAGTTTCATATTAATATTATTATGGCCTTTAAAAAAGGGAGTTTTTTACTATTAATTACTATTTACTATTAAAACTAAAATATTTTATATATTTTGACAGCGATGCGAAAAATATCAATGTCAATCCATCATTCAATGTCGGTTCAGCACTTATCGAACATCCTGTATATATAAAACATAAATAATTTTAAAATTTAATTTAAACCATAAAACTTTTGTAAAAACCTTTTTTTCTAAAATCAGTAGTTCCTCAGGGCCTTTACAAAGTGCTCACCCTGTACGTAAGTGAATAACCGCCGTGTGTCGAGCTAAACGAACCCGACGTCGCGCGATATCGGCTTCAATTTAAAACCCCAATTCAATCAATTTGCCGGCTTGAGCGCGTCTGAAGTCGTCTCCGTATTCGGCGTTTAAACGAAGGGACGAACCTGTCACGTGCACTCGAGGCAAAGGGACGCTCGCGACAAATTAAATCGCTTACCTTCGAAGTGGTCATGTTCTGGAAGGTCAGTTCGGATTCCTCGCCGTTGAGCATGATCGACACCGTCTGCGTCTTGATCAGGAGATCTGCGGGGAAGATAAACACTCGTGTGACGTCGATATATTAGTTCCAAGTGTACAGGGGACACTATTTAATTGCTACTTAGAGTTACGTAATAGGCCACGCCCCTTTGGGCGTTGAATTTCAAGAAAATTTGATAAAGGGGAACTATTAATATAGCAAAAAACAGATAATATTTATATAAAATCATATGGTCATCAGGTGGTCCACATACTTTCCTCAAAACCTCTAATAGCTATAAAGAAATACAAAAGTTGTATGGATATAATTTGATAATTTAATTTTGTTAGTTTACAATTGAATGATATATTTTGTTAAGGCCTTTAGAATCGGTTTTGTAATTAATTGATTTTTTGTTTTTTTGGATTTCCATACTTTCATAAAGTTCTCTTTTTTTGGTGTTAGGTTCTGTTAGTAGGACTTTAACTTTTTGAAAATTAAATTTGTGTTTGGTGTTTTCGCAATGGGTATGAAGAGAAATAGTTGTTTAAAAGTTCCTGGTTGATTTTGCTACATTTATTGTAATATTGTAAACATTTTTATTTTACTTTTTTTATATTCCCCATCTTCTCCGCCCTCTTTCTCTCATCTGATGAAAATTACGTTTGTTTTTACCACTAAATCCAAAAGCGCAATAACATATAAGGGGTCCCATTTAAAATTAAAAAGTGTAAGTCTACAGAGCAATTTCTATTCATAGCCCATATTGCAGACTGAAAATTTTACAAAATTAAGATGAAGTTTCTTATTACTAAAAACACAGAGAAATATTGTCAGGCATCGCGACATCGAATCTTTGAGGTACATGCACGTAAATCTCTTTCTAACTTCTATTCAAATAAAATAATTTATTTCTTTTTACGAGCAAAAGTCTGGTCGATCAGAGGCCACGCCCAAATCAGAAGCACCTTTGGGCGTGGCCTTTTCCTTAACCTCGCCCTTTTAGCATCCTACTCTAATTTATTTATTTATTTATTTTTCAACGGGCCAACCGCCCGATACAAAATAAGATTTACAATAACAAAATTGTAAAAAATAAAACAAAACAAAAATAAAACCATGAAATATAGCGATAGGTGATCTAAAACGGATTGGAGTTTTATACAGTGATCAGCATTTTGGACTCTCATATAGACCAGGTCGTCACCAAATAATAGGAAAAATGCACGATAAAAACATTCACATAGACATTGAAGAGTAGGGGTCCCAGGTATGACCCTTGCGGAACACCAGAAGCCACTTTCTGCACTCTTTCTGTAAGGTAGGATGTTAACCATTTCAAAAGTTTTCCCTAGATTTCAGTTACTCTATCAAATGCCTTTGAAAAGTCTGTGTAATGGCAACTTGATACCCCTCTTCCAATGATTCCAGCAGAAAATCTGTAAATGCAAGCAACTTTAGCTCAGTGGAGCGATGGGGAAGAAATCCAAATTGTTGGTCGATAAAGCAACCTTAAAGGCCGGCAGATAAATAGTCGCAGCAGAAATTGACTTGGCCGCATCCTTTTATGTACGGTATGTACGCTTTCAAGTAAGATCAGTTTTCGTCTCTCTATGGAATTTGACCCATCCTGCCCATACAAAAAACGAATGGACTAAAAAGTTCTATTAGAATGTACGGAATTTTAAAATTGTGTCACGCGCCTCTTCGAGAAATGGTGTCCTACGTACAGCGACTTATTTGTTGATTTTTGTGCGGAAGATCGACGTCAGTAGTGAACGCGTGCGATCGGGATGAACCCCCCACCCCGTTCCCCACCGCTGGGGGCGTGCCGTCACGCGACGGATTGTCTGTAACGCGTTGTAAAGCTCCGTGGCATTTTCCGCCGTACGTAAATAAACGGGACACGATTTTAGCTCGACGTTAGATTTACGGTCCACTTCACACGCCTACGTTATCGCCCCCCTCCGCCCCTCGCGTTTATCGCGCCACTGGCAGCCGCCCGCGGACTTTTTCCGGTCCGCCGCCGCTCCGTCTTCCAAGACCATCCGTTTTGAAAAACCGACTTAGAATCCCTTTATACCAAGAGTCCCTATCCCTGAAACCCTCGACATTATTTTACCTACCTTAAAACGCGAGAATCTGTGAACCAAACTTTCACACCTTAACTGAAAAACGCTCGTCTGGAAACTATTTTCCTCGCAACGGTCAAATGTATGAACAAATGTCGGGAACAGCTATGGGTTGTAAATTATCAGCAGTTATCGCGAGTACATTATTTTAGATATAATAAAATCCGAGAATCTGGAACCAAACTTTCACAATTCAACTGATAAATGCTTGCCTGGAAAATATTTTTCTCGCAACGGTGAAATTTATGAACAAACCTCGGGAACAGCTATGGGTTGTAAATTATCAGCAGTCATCGCGAGTACATTATTTTAAATACATTAAAATCCGAAAATCTGGAACCAAACTTTCACATTTTAACTGAAAAATGCTTGCCTGGAAAATATTTTTCTCCAACTTAGTTACTTTTAGATACAAAACTTCGCTTTGAAAAGTATATCTCGACTTCTACGCGTTTAAAAGGGTTGTATAGCTCAAGGCATCGAAGCTGAAGGAAGCGGGTCGTCTTTATTTGAAAATAATTAATTCATTAAACAACTGTTGCACTCATAGATAGAGGAAATATACTCCTAAATTAAGAATTCTTACGGAATTATCTATTTGGTGTGTCAATTATGGGTACGATGACAACAAATATCGGATATACTGTTCATCCGATATTTTTCCATCTAACTATTTATTGAAATGGAAGCTCTGACCTTTCTGTCTCTCGTACGCGTTGATGCACTCCGACGTCATGAACTGGCTGATGAGGGCGGTCTTGCCGACGCCTTGGGAGCCCAACAGGACCACGGTGTAGTTGGACACTTCCTCGGTCACGTGGTCGTCGAGTACGGGGCTGTTGCCCCCCATCGACGGGGGGCACAGGCTGTTGCTGCGGGACCTGCGCCGCCGGAACGAGTCGCCCCTGTTGACGATCCCTGCGGACGTAGGGAAAAAAACTTAGGAAACTAATTGTTCAAAGAAACTTCACCCAGGCTACTTTAATACTTTTCGGATGACTGATTCCCATATTGGTGACAGGTAAAGACCTAAGCCGCGGTTAAGATTGTTAGGTTGCTTATAGATTTCTATAGACTCTCAGTTTTTTCGTTGGTAGAAGAATTGATTACGCGCAAGAATTTTAATTTCATCGAAAAAAATATTTCGTCCGATCTCTATAATGTATGAGATAATGAGAGATTTTTGTACAAGTGGTAAATCTGGTTGTGACGGCTCTTTTAGAAGTTTGTGATGATACACTTAGGCCTGAATACTTGCTTAATATTGACACCCTGGACCACCGCCTGCTCTTTGCTAAACTAAAATACTTTGGTGTGGGGGCTGGTGTATTTCAGTTACTTTTCTGATCGGTGTCAAAGAGTATTCTTCAATAACAGCTATTCCAATTATGTAAATATTCGCAGGGTAGTATTTTAGGTCCGATGCTGTTTTCCGTTTACTCCTCCTACTTCTGTAAATTTATTAAGCATTGTTCCTCCCATCATTACGCAGACGGCACTCAAGTATATCTCTCTTTTAATTACTTTCAAATTAATACCGCCGTTAATAATATAAACAGTGACCTACATGCCTCAGTGGCATTTCTAGTAAGCATGGTCTGTTACTTAACGAAAATGAGACGCAACTTATAATTTTTGGTAAAGATAAAGGACGCTGCCAAAATCAACTTAAATGACCTTCTCTTACGGCCACTTGCCGAATAATAATTTGCGTTTTGAAGGTCGTCCAGAAATCCTCTACTGTAGTAAAGATATTCTGGACACAGCAATTAAGTTAAAGCTCACCGATTCCTTAATTCTCTCCTCAAATTTATACTGTGTAGTAATTTACTGGCCTGCCCTATTTCAAAAGGACAAGGTTAGTCTTCAGCGTCTTCAGAATGCCTGTCTCAGATTCTCTATCAAATCAAAATTCAAATATCAATATATACTATATTTTATTTTATAAATAATGTCATACGCTCGTTTTAGGGGGTTGCATGAGAGCAACTATGATGGATGCCGCCCCCATAGTTAGTTATATATTTTGCAAGATATCTCCTTCGAAAACGAATAAAGCGCCTTTACTATTATTATTATTATTATTATTTCTTATGAACGTTTGATATGTGGTCAGTGATGTTTTGGATGTAAGGAGCGACAACACTGGCAAGTGTTGGATTGTTTTCGGACTCATTACTATCGCAAGGTTGTGGTGAAGTGTATTTTGTGATGAAACGCTTTTGCGGCTTTATAAGCTTTATATGATTTTTGGAAAGGGTAATAATGTAACAATGCGTAGGTTTTCTGTAAACACCCAATGTTAGGTTTGATTTTCTATCGATAAAAATATCTAAGAATGGGAGGTTATTGTTACTTTCTAATTCAATGGTAAAGGTGTATAGAAATTAAATTTCTATGAAAATCTACCATGGATTTTTGACCACTGGACATTCGTTTTCTTGAAAGATTAACAAGCCTTTATCGAGAAGACATCATATATTGGGTTGTTCGGAAAGTCATTTTGTTTTTTTTTGGGGAACATGAAAGACAGTTTTCGTATAATGAATAAATATTTTATTAAATTATATATTGGCCATTCTGGTCCAACACCTTTTGCCATCTTTCTGGCAGTAACATAATTCCCCTCTCATAAAAGTTTTGGTCGTTGCAGGCAAAAAACTGGTTCAGGTGGTTTTTGACATCTTCATTTGAGGTAAAGGTTTTGCCATCCAAAAAATTTTGCAGGGACTGGAACAAATAGTAGTCGGAAGGCGCCAGATCTGGAGAATATGGTGGATGTTGCAGTACGTCCCATTCAAGCTGTAAAAGTTTTTGGCGAGTGACCAAACTTGTGTGAGGTCTCGCATTATCCTGGTGGAACACTACACCCTTTCTGTTGATTAATTCGGGCCTCTTCTCTTTAAGTGAATCATTCAATTTGTCCAGTTGATGACAATAGACTTCTGAATTAATCGTTGTATTGTCCGGCAAAAGCTCAAAAAAAACGAAGAGCATCACCTTTTTTTGGTGAATGTTGGCTTTTGACACGCTTTGAGCCGGTTCATCTTTTCCGCTCCATGACCTCTTGCGTTTAACATTGTTGTATACAACCCATTTTTCGTCCCCAGTAATAATCCGCTTCAAAAATGGATCATTTTCTTGACGTTTGAGGAGCGAATCACACACGTCAACGCGACGATACAAATTTCGCTCCGTAAGGACATGGGGCACCCACACATCGAGCTTCGAGGTTAAGCCCATGCCTTTGAAATGGCCATAAACAGTCGAATTCGACAAATTTAACCTCTCACCGGTCTCTCGTGTGGTTATTCGCCGATTTGCATCAACTAATGCCTTTATCGCATCTTTGTCAGCTTCGACCGGCCTTCCAGACCGTGGTGCATGTTCGACATCAAAATTGCCGGATCGAAATTTTGCAAACCAGTTCTGGCACTGGCGTACTGTTAACACGCCTTCTCCATACACATCCGACAATTTTTTTCTCGCTTGGACAGCATTTTTACCTTTTCTGAAGTAAAAAAGTAAAATATGACGATAATGCTGCTTATTGCTCTCCATATTTAAAATTGCACCAACCAAAAACTACTGCGTAGAATTAATAGAACTTTTTCACACACAGGCCTTGCAATATCAGCTCTCAAGACATATAATGGTTATGCGGCTTAAGTGTGAAGTTGGTTTCGAAACAACGTAATTAAGTCCTCTGACGGGAAAAAACGAAATGACTTTCCGAACACCTTATATATTTAGATATTGTGGTTAGTTTCGACGTAAGACTAAATACCTTATTCCTAAAACTCTCAACATTATTTCAGTTATATTAAAATCCGAGCATCTGGAACCTCCTTAATTGAAATATGCTTTGTCGTATAACGGTCAAATTTCTGAATAAACGTCGGGAACAGCTTTGGGCTCTTCATTAAGCTTTTGAGAAGAAAGCCCTCGACACCTTTCAACTAAAACCGAAATTATATAATTTTTAGTAGATTTTCTTAGTCATTTAAACTGTATATACCCTAACATACGTTTTGCCATTGAATTAGAAACTAATAATAACCTCCCATTCTTAGATATTCCTTCCCATTGAAAATCAGACCTACCATTGGGCCATTGTGTTTACAGAAAATCTACGCATACAGATATGCATTGTCACAGCACCACCACCGGTTATTAACCCTCTATCAAGTATCTACGCTCGTATAAAAAAATTGTATCTCGGTAACGGTAGGTCCAATGGTACAGAGATGATCACCGTCGAAAAAAAAAATCTTTTTTGTCTGTCCGTTCTCCGTTCTCGTCTTTTGGTTTTTTCTTTTTTGGAACTCTGTGGGTCGGAACTGTGATAGAAACTATTGTGACGGGAGGTGAAACTATGGTTCTCTATTATGACTCTCTATCGAAAAAAGAATCAGTGGAGCGGCGTCGTAACGGTGGAGCACTGCCAAAAAAATTCAGAGTCTGTCAGTCAACAAAAAAGGTGATGGCCACGATCTTTTGGGATTGTGAAGGAATTCTTTTGATAGATTTTAAAGAAACTAATACCACTATCAATGGTAAATATTACGCAACATACGTGTAAAACGTCGAGGAAAACTGACCAGAGGCGTGCGTCTTTAGTCTCTTAGTCCGGATATGCCCCCCAGCGACTATTATTTGTTTGGATATTTGAAAAACGACTTACGTGGACGGCGGCTTAACTATGAAGTTGAGTTAAAGAGGCTGTTTCAGCTCATTTTGCAGTCAAACCAAAACAATATTTTTAGAAAGGGATTGAGTTGCTAATTAAGAGATGTAATAAGTGTATTGAAGTTAAGGGGGATTATATTGAAAAGTAATAAAAAATTGTTATTCTACTTTGTTTCTTTCACATTCAGGCCGGGGAATTTTGGCGCTGCCCTCGTATAAGCAGGTACAGGGTAAACTGCGAGGCGGTTTCGGTCAAACTCTGAAGAAACCAACAGGATGATTGGCGAAACGTTAGCAACTTCGACTCGGCAAAAACCGACACAGGAGGAATCCAGAAGTTTTGGTAAATGGTGTAAAACAAAGTCCCGAAACACGCGGAAGTTTGGTTTCGCGCGCGGCTATTTGCGGACGTTCCTCGGTTAAAATTAGCCGATCAAGATTAAAACGCTCGCTAAATTTAAAACGAACGCAGCGGCGATCCCGAAACCGTGTAACTTGTTTACCGTGGGGCAGAATCAATCGCGGACAATGGCACCGCATCGAAGCCGATAAATTATCGGGTGTCGGTTTTTCGAAAAATCGATGTTTTGGTCGCGACGTAGCAGATATGGAAAATACCGGAAACGAGTCCTATTTAAAGTCCGGGGCTTTAATCTTACGACGAACTAACCTGTTCACACGGAAACTGACTATTTAGTATTCTCTGATTAGAACCGAACACCTAGAAGCCTTAACATTCTTCTATCATAATTTTCCAAAGAAGAAAACTAACACATCTAATGCGAAAGTTCTTAGGGCGTCTTCTGCCTGTTGTGTAAGAGAACAAAAAAAAAATCTTCACAAGAACAAGAATCTGTATCTCTCTAATGACCGACATTTTACTACAGTTGTTTTCTTGTGGACTGACTATTTGGTATTCTCCGAATGAAGCTAAACGCTCTAGTAAACTCTTGAAGTCTTAACTAGCAAAAACATCTAATACATTAATTAAAGCCAAGCTTCCTCATAAACGTTAAGTCTTAAAATTTTCCGATCACAATTTTCGAAAAAAAAAAGTTTAAAAAATAAATTCCAAAATTGAATGTAATTGTGTTCCTCATCTCCAAAAAAACATGAATCCTAGTTTTCATCTGGACACTTCAAAATCAGCTTGAGGTTTAACACCCTGCATATCTCTAACATGTTTAAATGAGAACCGACTATTTAGTATTCTGTGATAAAGACTAAAC